TGGGAAAATGTTCGTTGTATTATACGAATCTAATGGGATTAAAGCTCTTAACCTAAAGGCATAATTGACTCTACCAAAAAATTGAATAATCTATTTTGTATCAAATTTTAATTAAACAGGGTTTTTGTGGTAATTTCAATAAAAATCAATTACCTATTTATAAAGTTCTATTAATGTACAAACTAAACATAAGTACTTCTAGGCAACGATTCGAGCTGCCTTTTTTTATTTTAAGGTCTTTTACCTTCTTCTTTAAAACTTATTACTTTGTAGATATTTGAGTAAAAATTGTACATTTGAAAAAAAAATTGTAGATTTAAGGAAAGCCCGGTGTTCTCGTTACTAATACGGGTGAAAAAAATCTGTAATGAATATATGGTCCGCAATTTTTTACAGTGCTACTATATTCATGTTTTAGTATATAAACACCAAATCAACTGAATTACACTAATAAAGTACAGTATACACCAAATCTTAATAAAACTGTAAACTTTAGATCCTTAGGTCTTTTTATATTCAATCCTAAAAGAATGAGAGGAAAATATAGTTATATATGAATGTTATGTTAGTCCTAAGTTAGAATCATTATTTCAGACGTTTACTATCCAGTGCTGAACATAAGCCTTCACCATAAGGGGAGTTTTGCCAGTAGTTGCTACGCTTGGCAGCGGGTTGGCAATCGTAGTTAGGTTTTTAGAGACATTTAAAAAGGGGCTGCTGCCCATCCCTCTACCATAAGTTCGCTTAGTCGCCTCTTACGACACCCACAGGAAAAAAAGTGGTGGCCTATTCTATGCTGAGAGCACACGGACCATATATTACAATATATATATAAATAATATATTTGCCTCCAACTTGCTGGAGTTTCGTCGAGCGATCACAGAGTATTTGTGTTCAGTTAAATCTTTTTATATTATTTTTTGTTTAATATTTTTGTGTTATATTCCTTTTTTTATGTTATTGTACTCATGCTTTCCTGGGTGAGCATATTGGAAGACTGTAAGTTTCACCCAGTGGATGTAATAAATTAATAAATAAGAGAAATAACTGTATTTCAAGATACTTTTGTCATTTATTGTAATAATTGGGTAATTGTTCGGATCAAAAATTATATTTGGTTGTAAATAATAACAACAGTATTTTACATCAAAATAAAGAGGTTTTTTTGTTTGTTTTTGCCCTATCTAACATTTTGGTCATACTAATATCATATTATATCAGTGAAATATTATTTCAATATTGCATCGCTACGTCAAGTATGATATCTACGGTATTTGGATAGAGAATACCATAACTGATCATAATGCCACTTACCTTAATAAAACGATATATTTCAATAGTAGTAAGCGGTTATAAATTGTAGAACAAAGTTTATCACATAATACTTGTATAGTGCACTGTATGACCATATATATGAGATATTGTATACTACCGCGATTATTCTCTGGATATTATTTTGAATTAATCTGTAATGTGAACGAAAAAATACTATACTAACAATGCTTATTGTAGAACCCGTACCCCGAAATTTCGCTATGTTCTCAAATGCCGCTATTTTCTTACTATAAGAAAGCTAAATAGACAATCAATTTAAAAAAGTTGAATACTGTTAACAATTAAAAATAAAATAAAGGTTTTTAGTGCATTTTATTGTTCAGAAATTTTATTTATTTTCTAGTAGTTTTTTTAATATACTCTCATGCATTTCGTTTGATGTCACTGTTACAATGCTAAGAAAAACTGATACGTTACTGATACATTTGTAACTGATTGTAATTACAAACTAGATTATTGTATGAGCTCTTTTAATTTTATTGCAACCTGGTATTTTGTCGATATTTACCCCTTGTTTCTCAATATTTGAACATGCGCAGTGTTTTTACACCTTGTAACCGTCATAGATTGTTTGTTGAATGGATCAAAACCGTATTTTCAATCTTAACACATTGACAGGAGAGTAAATGTTAGAGTAGACAAAAGTAATAGCTGTATTTTTTAAATACATCTGTCATTTATTATAGCCTGGTAAATTATTCGGCTATAATAGAATTATTGCAAAAATATTTTCATTTTCTTTGCTAGGGGGTCCAGAAGGGCTACTTAAATTTCAAAGTGGTCCGAGTGGGGTATCATATGAAAGGGCTTCATATGAATATTTTAAAACTGATTTTTATTTATTTTTATAACGTGTTTTCTTTTTTTATTAGTATGTATGGTATGTATGATGCCCTTAACTAACTACGTCCCCAAATTACATTAATTTTGAAACTATACCTTAAGAAATATAACAACAAAAACTTTACTGAATTTATTACTGACACACTTACTCATGGGTCATTAAAATTCTAAAAATCTTCTAGCAAATTTGAACATAATTCCCCTTTATTCATAAAAACGTCATACCTCTCATAAGTTTATTATGAACTGTTTTGTCTCATTTTTTTTGAATAAATTCTTAATTTGAAAATAAATAGTTAAAATATGTTTATAGGTTTTAATTTTATGAATAAAAAGGTTAGTCTTTAGCCTATAAAGTAATAGAAAATTAAAACATATCGCAATTTCGGTTCCGTTTTCTAGATACTCAGACTGTATAAGTAACTTTGTTATCCTATATACATATGTATAGAAAAATACAAAGTTATTTTTGTAGTTCATATCATTTTTCATTGTGTTGTGATTGAGAATCTAGCGATCTTATAGATGGCTAAATTGTATTGAACCCCTTTTTGAATTTTCTAAACAAACTATTTACAAAATGTTTTATTAGTTACACTACCTATGTTTACATAGACAGGTACTACGCACCTAATAGCAGCACCTAGCTAATAGAACAAGAAAATAAAGGTAGATCGTATCTCTTCAAAAATCACTTTTAAAAATGCCAATAGGTTAAATGGGATTATTTTTCAAGAAACCATGCTTCTCCAAGGTTCCAATGAGCTCTTTTAACTTTATTACAGCCTGGTATTTTGTCGATATTTCTCCCTTGTTCGGAAATGTCGAACATGCGCAGTGCTATGTTTACTCCACGTACATTTCGTAAATGAAATCGTACCATCATTGGGTGGCGGTCAAAATTATATTTTCAATCTTGTAATATTAAGTAATATTAAATATTAGAATAGACAAAAGAAACGATTGTATTTTTAAGATCCTTTTGTCGTTTATTGTAGCCTAGTAAGGGTGCGGACAAAAATTACATTCGGTTGTAAAAATGTAAATGGGGCAGTTAAACATATTTGTACTCGTAAAACCGAGTGGATTCATTTATACTATATCTATGTGTAGAAGTAGTTTTTTCATAAGTAATTAAATGATCAATTCATTAATTTAGAAAATTTGACAGTAATTAGAACATTGAAAAATTGTAAGATGTAGTATAAAACCAATAAATAATTCACGATTGACAGTAGTGATATTATATACATAAAATAAAATCTACCTAATGTTAACACTCAAGCGTTTTATGTTTGTCAGTATGTATAGATTTAGATCGCTAGCGCTAGGTTAAATTGGAACTATTTATTTATTTATTTCTTATTGCATTCCATAATATAATTAGTACATAACATTTTAATTATGAACCCTGTTGGGCATAGCAAGTAGGAGAGAGGAGGACAACACTTTTTTCACTTTCGAAATAGTCTAAGGATCTGTTACAATATTATCCAGTCATTGAAATTGTATCACGATAGGTACGTATTTTCTTATTATTATTATTATTCATTATTTAAGTATTGGTATGTATCTATTCATTCATTATATTTATGTGAATATGTACCTTTGTGGTCTTATTCTATTTATTACAGAAAATATATTAACATTAATTAGGATTACTATAAAATGGTTTTAGTTAACTAATTAGATAATAATTTAGGACATAGCTGTTAAGTAGCTGCTCTCATAAATAGTTACACTTATTGTGTACATGGTTTTGCATTAAACCTTACAAATGTTCAGCATTATGAGACTTGTATTTTTACCCATTAGGTTTAATCGATATATATCCCTTGTTTTTAATTATTAGTGCAGTGTTGCATTTAAGCCACGTGCATTTGTTTATAAATAACATCGTAACCTTTACAGAGAGTAGAAGACATCTAAATTACATTTTCAAGCTTAATACATTGGGAAGAAGGTAAATGTTTGTGTAGACAAAAGTATTTCTAAGATGCTTCTGTCGTTTATAGTAGCCTGGTAGACGTACGGACAAAAATGTAATGGTGTTTTACACCAAAATCGATATTACAAAGAATACCAACCGCACTACCTTACGAATTTTTAATATAGAATAGTACTAATGGCAATATCGTTTTGTATAGAAGAATATTGTACTTTTTTCGGCGTTGCCAAAAATATGTTAACTAGTCATCTACGATCTACTGGATATTTTACTATACCTGCTATCTTTTCTGAATACCTAATACATCATCAGGCTGCTTCCTTGTTCTTGTTAGAATAATTGAACATGCGCAGATCCTCAAATGCGAAAACGCATGCTCTATATTTACTTGTAAACAGAACCAAAATGCGGTACAGCTTGTACCTACTGTTGATCATTTCGAACATCTTTATTTCTTTCTCGATACGGTTCATGTTTCTAAATACGAAAATTGTATATCTTTGTACCTCATACAGTCCTGGTAACAATGCGGGCAAAAACGATTGGCATGCACAGGGAGACTTTGAAAGTTAGAGAGTGAAAAAAAATTTAATAAATAAAATTCCTCAGATTCCAAATAAATGACTCAAAAAAAACATTTTTATTTGAAGTAATCTTAGAAATAATATTGAGTCTGTAAACAAAATATTTTTAATACTCATAATCTGGAAATCAAGTCAATACTAAAAATTCAATTTGTACGAATTAATTATTTTCGCCAGGATAGGTAGAAGCTTACTTATATTTTTCATTATGCCAGAGAAACAATCCTAACATAAATTAAGTATTAGTAGATTATTTATTAACTCTAATATTACTTTTTTTCAATTAAAAGATGTCCAAAAGAAGCCTATATTTCTGCTGCACGCTACGCTTATGATACCGAACGTGTCTGTAAAGCCAACCTTGGAAGAAATTCAAGACGCACTTGTCTTGGCCGGAAAGAACATCTCCGGCTTGTCCAAGGGCGTCGCGCAGTGGACCGGTGGCAAGACATCTAGGGTGAGATGTCTATGTGGGATATTTGTTTCAATCTTATGACAAAGTTTACCGATTATTCATAAATACTTTATTTTAGGCCAGTTGATTAATATAAGCATTGTATTTCACTGTAATGAATTGTGAAGAGAAATAAATCTGTTTATTATTTATTAGTGTTTTTCAACGTGTGGGTGGTGTGAAGCCTCTATAGGGGGTTCCGAAAACTACCTCAGTAAAAAAAAAACAAAGTTATAAAGATAGACTTATTAAGAACATTTGTATACAAATTATCAAAAAAAATCGAGGGTCGCGAAACATTTTTTCATACTAGGGGAGTCATGTCATAAAAAAAGGTTGAAAAACACTGTTTTAGGCAAATGATTGGTCACATTTATTACAAAAATTAAAAGCATCATTCATTAAAATACGCATGTTTCTTCAGCATTTATATAATGTTTCATTGTTTTTCTCTATCCACTATTTTTCTACTCCATTGTTATGTTAGTTAATGTTACATTATTTGTGTATTAATTTGTGTTTCTATTTTTACTGTTCCACTGTGTGATGTTAATTGTATTGTGTCATGTTCGAAACCTACACTATTCACTTGTGTCTGACTGTGACTTCGTCTGCAAAATTGCCATTATCGTGTGCTCTCATGTTCCCATCTTTATTACTTGCTGGACACTCGGTGTTGCTTTATTTTACTTTTATCCTCACCCTATTTTCACTGTCACCTTTGAAACCCTCCACTATGCTTTTCTTTCTTTCGCCTTGTGCGCCAAATACATATCCAGGTTAGCTGGAAGAAATTGGCGGTTCCTCAGTCAAACCAACTCTTAGACGTAGTCACGAAGCTTGACGAACAGGTCCAATCAGTGTCGGTACCTATGGCGATGGCGCAAAAGTCCATGAAAATGATGGACGCAGCAAAAATAAAAAGAAAGAAGCATTATAGATTAGAATCAGAAGAAAAACCCACCTTCCCGTTTCAACAAAAGAATTTCTATAGCCATGTAATGGATAATAAGGAAATAGTAAAGACGCTGTCTTTGTTATCGATGTGTACACAAAACATTAAAACAGTGAGTGGTTATATTATATTTCTAATAGTTTTGATATTTCTATAGTATCAACGATTATTTCGAATGTTTTACAAAATTTTTAGGAATTAAACACGCTAGTGAAGCGCTGGCGGCCATACCATTACTTGTGGAAATGTGAGAAAACATTACGTCAGCTGCTAGCGTGGAACTTAAATGACTTCGAATTAGCTCTCAAGAGGCACAGTGAGCTAGATGCCAAGTTGGCTACTGAACCAGATGTGCTGGTCATTGGGAACTGCCTTGCTGTATCCACTGAGAAACTAAAGCTTGGTCTGACAACTGAACTTAAAAGTGAGAAATTTTTCTAGTGCTAAATCTTGTTTCTTTCACTAAAACTTACCTTACTTTTTACACTTTATTGTCTACACTGACAACACATAAAAATATGACAGAGGTAAGTAAATCTACAAAGGCAAGCTTTGAAGAAATTGTCTCACAAAAATACTTAGAGAGTTCGTAAAACTGATTAAGTATTTTTAAACATGGATAACTCAAAGATTTTTCTTGCGTTAATTTAATAATTCAAAAACGTTTCACCGCGCCGACTCATTGAGTTAATTCAAAATTGCGTAGCACATAGAACAGGATGACGTATATTATTATACGAGTAGTATATTTTTTGACATATGCCAAAACTAAGCGACGAGAAAAAGGTCCTCCGCTGCTACTACTCCTCCGTTCTACTTTTATTTTCCTTACATTTTATTCATACATTTTAGTGTATTTAAATACTATTAAAAGAGTCCCAGAAAGTCAACCCACAAGTCTAAAAAAATACCCTAATTTCTCCAAAGTCATTTCGCTTTTTTCAGTAGAGCACTGTGCGCCAACTCATTTTGAAATGTGGATTGACATATCTAGCGCCATCAAGTGAGTTGACGCAATTGCACGGTATAGAGCAGTGTTACCCATGTTCAAGGATTTTAAAAAAATATTTATGTTCATATCATTACATTAAATTTTTTGATTTGGTATATCTTTATAAATTCGTTATTTAAATAAAAAGTTATTTATTTATTTTTACATCTATTTATTAACATTTATATGCCTACAAAATATTAACGGTCGTCAATTTCAGATGGTACCCACAGGATAAGTCAAGCCATGCGTAAAAAATATAAACGTGAAATGGATTATGTTTACGCGATTATGAATGATCTGGAAAGAAAGCTTGAACGACCGATCAGAGATTTAGATGATGTCCGCACGATAATGGAAACCCTCAAGAAGATCAGAGAACAGGAAGTTGATATGGAACTGAAGATTGACCCCGTCGAGGTAAACAAACATGGGCTACTTTTGATTTTTATTAGTATTAACCTTCAAACGGACTTTACATAAACAAGATAAGATGATTACAATAGTAAACACTCATATTAGTAATTCTTAAAGTGAATATTAAATCACTTTAAAAATTTGTTTTTAATAATACACAATATTTATTAAATTGCTTTATGCAAAAAGAAATACGAAGCATTCCAGACTTCAGAGATGAATAAATGTAAATGGCAATTTATAATTTAAATTATAATTGACATGTCAAAACGTAAGGATCAGTTAGTAACTCATCCATTATATTACAGGAGGCCTTCAACATAATAACACGATACGAGCTGCCAGTGAGCAAAGAAGACCTAGAGCAAGTGGATAACCTTCGGTATACTTGGCAACAACTGCAAGCTACCGCACTCGCTTCTCATGTGCAACTTCTTGTCATGCAGCCACAGCTCGAAGAAGACCTCAGAAATAACCTGGACAGGTTCAGGGAGGATAATACGGAATATGTTCACGAGTACAGACATGCTGGTCCGATGCAGTCGGGTCTTACGCCGAGGGAAGCATCAGATCGCCTGATCCTCTTCCAGGTGCGTTCAAACGAGTTTTTATTATATCAGCCTTTAACGATCTACTGCTGAACGTAGGTCTTCCCACAAAAGTTAGCAACCGCAGTTAGGCTTTGGTGATGTCTTAAGAGGAACGCTGCTGCCTATCCATTGCTCTCCCTTAGCTGTCCTTTACGATACCCACGAGAGGGGAAGGATTGGTCCATTCTATGCCGGAACCACATGGCAAAAGAATATTGATGCTGTTAAATGTTTAATTATTTTTTTACTAGTATCCCAATCAAAGTTTTGCACGAATGCGAAGTACATATATCCGACCTTGTGGTAATAAATATAAAAGACCGCGAAACTAGTATCAAAATTCATTGCATGGAAGGTTGCCTTATTTAAAAGAGATTAATTATAGCGATAAAATATTAATTTCTTTGTGTGATCTTTTTGTTTGTGGAAAACTTCTACTATCTTGAGAGTAATCAATATACTGTTTTGATTGTAATGTCTTTACCCAACTTTTTGTTTTAGATTCTCATTCACATCATGTAATTTTGAAAGTATTTCTTATTGACTGTTAGTAACAGGTAATTTGAAATTATATAATTTCTTCACTAGAACCGATTCGACGGTATGTGGCGCAAACTTCAAACGTATCAAAGTGGCGAGGAATTGTTTGGATTACCTCATACGGAGTATCCCGAATTGGCACAAATAAGGAAAGAATTGAATCTTCTACAGAAACTCTACAAGTTGTACAATGATGTCATTGACAGAGTCAGCAGTTATTACGACATACCCTGGGGCGAAGTCAATATCGAGGAGATTAACAATGAACTCATGGAGTTTCAGAATAGATGTCGAAAATTGCCTAAGGGGTAAATAATAATGTAGTTTTTTGTACTCATTATTTTCACTAGCTTCCTCACCTATCCTGTATGGAATCTTCTTTTTTCACATAATAAAACTTTTGCACTTTACACTTTTCAAATGCACTTTTCTTTTATTAGCAAATTCTTTCACAAGATCTATACCTTAATAATTAAAATTTTTGATGATTTCCGTCATGATTAGACATATTTATTATTATATATTCTTTATTGCACTAAAACATACAGTAACAACAATAAGTTAATAACAATGTTAGCAAAGGCGAACTTATCTCTAAAAGAGATTTCTTCCAGTCAACCTAACGCAGTGGCATAGGAAATAGTGGCATAGGTAGTAGTGAGTTTATATACAGATCTGACAGAAAATATTTGTCTTAGCCACAATAAAGTTTTATTATATGTTTTCAGTGGTTTTAGGTATCTCAAGCACTATTTTTAATCTATGGCAAATATGTTTTTCCTTATTTTGTTAAAGTCTAAAAGAGTGGCCGGCGTTCTTCGCTCTGAAGAAAACTATTGATGATTTCAACGACATGTGCCCTCTATTGGAGTTGATGGCGAATAAGGCCATGAAGCCGCGCCATTGGCAACGTATTATGGAGGTCACAAAGTATAACTTCGAGTTAGATAATGAGGACTTTTGCCTCAAGAATATTCTAGAAGCACCTTTGCTGCCCAATAAGGAGGATATTGAGGTAAATCACGTTTCTCTGTTATTACCGTTACATTACAACCTACTTTTTTATAATATATAGCATCTGAGTATGTCTCGTTACATCTACTTCAGAGCAAACTTTTTAAAATATTTATTTATTTATTTATTATTCATGTGAAATATGAGATACATGGTGTTACAAAAAACCTAAAAACGTGTCGCCATACATAGGCATATACTCGTAAATGTTGAGAAATTTTACCATGCTACCTTTTGTGCCATAGGCCAAAAAATAATTAATAAATGAAGTGCTATTTTTTAAATGACTCCATAATTCTGACTGTCATGGCGCCTATTCAAAACCATAACCCGCCATGATAGATTTTTTATAAAATCCGTAGTAACTTATTTTCATAGAAAAACGTCTTAACAACGATGTTCCAATTGTTGCAGGCCTGGTACAAACTTTTTTATAATATTAGAACAGCATAGAGTTCTTTAGAATACAAAACTACGATGCCAATATTGCATCGAGTACTTACTTATTATTTATGAACGTAGCCGAATTATATTATATAAATCGATAGATATCACGCTTAAGTTTTCTGAATTCCTGGTAACATAACCATCATTTTGTGTACGTGGCTGGCCTATGTTCATACGTAACTATTGGCTCCATAACTGTTAAGAGGGAGTGGGGGGGGGGGTAAAACCGAAAATAAAATATTTTTGATTCGTTCAATTCCGAAATCTTAGATAACGTCCCATACCTAATTACAAATATCCAGTATACCTAATAGAATGGAAAACGTGGGAACGAACGAGAAAGAAATATTGTGAAATAGATGTATACCTTTATACATTGTATATATATATCTTTTATTTGCTTGTAAATATTTTCGTTCAAAATTATGATATGGTATGTTAGGTTTGTCTTAATAAAAACTGTAATCGGAAAACTGTGTGGTACCCAGAAATAAATAATGAAATTGTAACAACTTGTTTTTGGAAATGTTTTTAAATTCTAGCAATTAATTAAAGGGATTCTATAATTATGCTATTTAGAATGACAAACAAGCTAACGACCCTTCTGATGTAAAATAGTAACCTATAAACATGAACATCAAGCACCATGGGTATCTTTAGCCGTTTTTAAGGTAGGGGCCGCATGAGCTGTGCACACTCCAGAACTGTCTGATGCCCCCTCTAAGATCTTTTAACTATGCTTAAAACATATCTGATAGTACAAGTGTGACTTTATTTAAACTGGTTGGTTCCTAAACAAAATTGGACACGAAGTACTTGGCTTTTTATTTTTTACTGATATTGTAATAATAAATCATAATTTTTTACTTTATTTTCATATATTGTATATCTTTGGAAAAGACATATTATCATGAAAAATTGCAATCTTGTGGGTTATAATTAATTTTGAAATAGATCGCGTATTATCTGTCACTTTACAATCATACATACATAGTAATAAAAACAACTCACCGATTTAAAAATTGTACAACAAATTTTCTTTAATTACAAAATAATCAACAAAAACCACATGTCTCGACTCCAGCGCTATCTAGTATTTCTTGTCTAATTTTGTATAGTGACCAATTACCTTAAAAAGCCAGCCCCCACTGGAAAATTATTAATACGCCAATACAAAATACATTGTGCAGTTCGTGTACCCTTTATGCATTGCTTTTTCTGAGGACTAAGATGTGATGTAATTAATTATACTAATATAATAAAATTGTAACTAAACAATGTGAGATATTTAAGAAAAATTAATACCTATGAGGAGTTTTAATAAAAGCTCAAACAATAATTTTTAGAAACTTTGTCTTTCTGCACGTTTATATCGGCATCATTAAAAAACTACTGCATTAAATTGGATGCAATTATCACAGTTACATTTCTGAAGGTGTAACTTAATATCTGATATCATGTTTTATCCTGATGTTGATTTATTTCATCGGATTTCCTACTTCTGAAATGAACGCGTATAATGTAGAGGACAAAAAGCTAGTTAGTGTTTATAATAAAATATTCATCTTTATAATTTTCCCTAACTACTGTTTTCGTTTTCCTGTTAAATTTGCTATTTATTAATTACTCTTAACTAATTAATACTTAATACTTAAGTATTTTTTAACTTTCTTCAGTTAAAAATTACTTAAGAATTACATAATAGTTATAGATTATTAACTGTGTTAGGAATATAATTTCATAATAGTGTAAGCAGCGCTGCGGACGTTTTATGCGGACTACGGATGAAATCTACACGGGGATTATCCGCAGATCTACTAGGAATGTATAGCTTTGAAGAGATCTTGCGCGGATTTGTAGGCGGATTTATATAATATATTCAAAGGAGATTGATATAAATAGAATCTTGAATTCTCCCATACTAATAATGGTATTACGAATAATTTCCATTTCTTATGTAGCTAAAGAGATATTTTGATAACATCGATACTAATTAAAATTCTATGGACTTAGACATATGACTTGTTATGTATAATTACAAATATTTTTATAATGAGTGAAAGTAAAATAGTTTTAAATTAAATCCTGTCTGCGTTATCGGTATATGTTGGCGGGGTACCCGTGATGGATGATAACTGAGGAAAAAGCAGATCAGTTAGGCCATCGTTACGAATTCCCTTTAAAATATCCACGATAGTTTCCAGGGAGAGTCGCTTAGAGGTCGACCTAATAGGATATATTGCTAGCAATGGAACAGTCAAGCCCTATTATTTGCAACCCATTTCTCTTAATCAACTGCCGAATGTAGATTACTACATGTAAGCGTATTACTACAGAATGTCTGCACCTATTTCGCTAATTCTTTTTTTGCTGTGTTTGTAATTACACCAAAAAGGCTCTGAGAAAGAAAATGTTTAAAGGGTTTAAAAAAATTAATGCTTATTTCTAAAGTTTATAGGCACTATAAATAAACTAGAATTAGATTTATCGAATATTGATGGGAGGGAAACACGTGACTTCTTACAACGCTGTAAACTACGTAATACGCATGCGCAGAATCCTATTACACAGGTTGACGATGTTCATAGAATACCAGGAGAACAGGAATGTATAGGATTATGTTTTACATCCAAAATATATAGAATGGTAAAATAAAAGAGAAAAAGCATAGCAACGTATATGTTAGAGCGAGATAGATACATAAACAGGAGTTCACGTTACACTATATACCTAAATAAGCTCAAATAGTATTTAGTGGGAGCATGGACAAAATTAATTCTGATTATTTTAATATTTTGGTGTGTAATTTAACGTAGTGAAGTTAGTTACAGTTAAAGTTTGTACTACGTATAACATTAATTAATAAATCAATGAAAAAGCTCTTTAAATGCAATATGCAGAACTATCACAAATGTTTTATACAAGAATTAGTAGAAAAAATATATCTATCTTATTATAAATAAATTCCTGAATATTAATAAATTTAAATTAAAACTAAAATATTATAAAGAGGAAAGACTTGATTTTTATTCATATGGAATATTCATGGAAAAATGAGGCAAATCGGCTATGCACTTTTTTTTAATAAAATACAGCTATGTTACTCCCTGATAAATAATGTAGCTATCTATAGGTGAAAGAGGTTTAAACCGTATTAAATATTTTTTTAAATTATCCATTACAATGAAAAGAAAACCTCTATTTAATGACTATTAGTTTAGAATTTAGATTGTTACAATTCATCAATTAGGTTGTCAGCAAATTTGCTGTTGTTAATAAAAAAAAATACATTACAAAATCTTTTTAAATGTCGATCAACAAGCTTCCTGTACTTCCAGGACATATGTATATCAGCAATGAAAGAAAAGGACATAGAAGCGAAGCTCCGACAAGTAACTAACGAGTGGTCGGTGCAAGAACTCACCTTCCAGACATTCAACAACCGGGGTGAACTGCTCCTCAGGGGCGACACCACGGCTGAGTCTATCGGCCAATTAGAGGACAGCCTCATGATACTGGGCTCACTCCTCTCCAACCGGTAGGACTTTAATAAAACTGGCCTTTTTATTTGTAACTATCTATTTCCCGTAACCCAATATACGCGGAAACATTCCTGCAGAAAAATAAATTAAATTTATTATAAATATATGTTACTACTTGCAGTAGTTGCCATGTGGCCTCCACATAGAATAAGTCATCCCTTACTTTCCTGTGAGTGTCGTAAGAGGTGACTAAGACAACTTAACGGTCGAGGAATGGGCAGCAGCGTCCCTATTTAAATATTACCAAAAGCCTAACTGTGGTTGCGAATCCACTTGCCAAGCGTAGCAAATACTGGCAAAACCCCCCTTATGGTGGAGTTTTATGTTCAACAGTAGACAGTTAATGGCTGATATGATGATGATGATGATGATGATATGGTACTACTAACTGACCTGACAACACTGTTACTAACTATATAGCTGCTAATATATTATTTATCATATTCTTTTTTATTTATATATGTTATGTTTTATACACAAACTTTAAATACTGTCTCTTTACGGGTTCTCAAGGTTAACTGAAAGAAATCCTAAAAGTATTAAATAAGGGATAAGGCCGTCTGTGTACACTTTTGTTATAACCTAATATCTATATTAAAAGTGTATGTACAAAAGCATAAATAAATAAACAATTACAAATAATAATAAAAATAATGATAAAAAAAATTACAAATAATAAAATCCAAGTATATTTATATTTACATGTATGCGAAAAATGCATATATATCAAAAAGAATGAACCCCTAAACATGCTGTGTAGTTATTTCTATAACAAATCATATGCCCTACTGCTGGTCTCCCCCTAATAAGTAGAGGAATTACCCTCCTGTTAACACGGCAACAAGGAGACGAGATTATAAGGTTACGCTTCGAGTTCCCCTCTCGTGTAACTACCGTTGTACTTCATTCCCCTAATGCCCCTTATTACATCCAAGGAATGAAAAGGAATAATGACATAATGCATTATTACAAGTACACCGTCAACACACAGAAATTTCTGTACATTTTTACTTTGTTACTTTTGATTTCTCTAATTGCGTTCGCCACTAGTAAAGAATGTCTGGTGGAATCAACAACATTATCACTGTCCACTACTAAACAAAACTCCCCCAAAGGAGGGGGGACTTTACCAATAGTTACCACGCTTGCTAGCCTAAATGCGGCTGCGAATCTCAGGCGAGAAATCTCAGTTAGGTTTTGGTAATATTCTAACTGCTGCCCATCCCTCTACTATTGAATTCTTTTAGTCGCCTTTTATGACCTTACGACACCCTTGGGGAAAGAAAAGGTAGTCCATTCTATGCCGTGACCACACGGCATTAAATTCTGGTTTGGTGTAATAATAGACAAAAATTATACAATCGACAATTAAATTCTCAGATACAACGCACCATTCCGGAAACAAATCCAACAGTGGTTATATGATTTACAAAGCACGAATGAAATATTAGAGAGATGGCTACTGGTACAAAATATGTGGGTGTATCTCGAAGCGGTGTTCGTCGGCGGCGACATCGCGAAACAGCTACCCAAGGAGGCCAAGAGGTTCTCCAAAATAGACAAATCCTGGCAGAAAATAATGCAGCGAGCCCACGAGACACCTGGTGTTGTATCCTGCTGTGTTGGCGACGATCTCCTGAGGCAACTACTGCCCCACCTGCAAGAACAACTGGAACTCTGCCAGAAAAGTCTCAGCGGTTACTTAGAGAAAAAAAGGACCATGTTCCCGAGGTTTTTCTTCGTTTCGGACCCGGCATTGCTAGAAATCTTAGGTCAAGCCTCCGATTCGCATACTATCCAGAACCATTTACTATCGATATTTGATAATATTCGATACGTAAAGTTCCATGATATTGGTGAGTAACGTCAAATTTTCTTAGAATTGTTTGAAGTACAAATGAGAAAATGTATAAAACGATGATTTCAATTATGTTGCACAAACTTGATGAATGCAAGAAGCTAGGTCGTATAGCAAATTCTCTGAAGATGTAAATATGTTCAATAATGAATATCGAATGGTTTAAAACTTACAATGATTATAAAATAACATAATTTTAATAATAGTTGGGATGGTTGTGGGTGATCATGGGCGGCTGTATTCACTTACCATCAGGTGAGCCGCATGCTTTTTGCCCCATGTGTTGTAAAGAAAAATTGGGATATTTTTATCGATATTCCGGATAGGTGCATTCTTAAAACCAATATTAATCTAATATATTGCAGAATACAATAAAATGATAGCAATAGTATCATCGGAGGGCGAGGAAATAAAACTGGAGCGTCCTGTGCGTGCGGAGGGGTCGGTGGAGACGTGGCTGACGTCTTTACTCCAATCCGCGCAGGGCAGCCTCCACTCCATCATTAGGAACGCAGTCGCGTTCATCAACGACCCCGCCTTCAATCTGCTCATGTTTCTAGATAAAATGCCCGCACAGGTAAACAAACATTTTTTTTTATGATTCTTAGAATGATGAACAAGCAGATGGGCCACCTGATGGAAATTGGCAGCTGTAACTTATTCAATATATGAATTGATGAAACTTTATAAAAATTGTAGTGAGTTTAATACTTGACAAGACGATGTTTTAAACATTTAAATAGCGTAGCTTAGTTACATTACTTAACTTAGCGCGTTACTTATATTAATTTAAAAAAATATCCAAATAAGCTGAAGGCTCAGACGAAAAGTGGTAATCGTCAACAATAAACAGCGCTATGAACATTACAGAATTACCATCACAGTGTATTACGTACTTGTATTAGAAACAGTCGTTAAAAATCATAACAGTTTAAATATGTTAAATAAAAATTAACATTGTTATAACAAACGACTGTGAAGAATATATTTTTAACACAGTATATTAATATTTCATGTGTAGTGATTCTATTTTTGTAAATCCCTGCCATCTATCCCACGCCAGATGAACTAATAATTAGATATTTCTGCTGACATTTATCTTCTGCCGTGAGCAGCTGTGCTTGTATGGCTGTTTCAGTTGAGGGGTAAGATATGGCAGTGATTTTTTTATAATAGGTACATACTTAGAATAATTAAAAAGCAGATAGCATACCAAAAGTCTGCCCCGACATAAAATAGACCACTCATTCCTTTCCCGTGGGTGTCGTAAGAGATTAATAAGGGAGGATGATGTATGGGCAGCAGCGTCTCTCTGAAAACATCTCTAAAAGAACAACTGCGGTTGCCAACCCGCCTGCTAAGCGTGACAACTACTGGTAAAGTTCCCTTTATGGGCAAAATTTATGTCCAGCAGTGGACAGTTGACGGCTGAAATAATAATAATAAATACCTACAGTGAAAATAATGGCATATTTAACATATTGTATCCCACATTTCGCTGAATATAATTAAATTTAACGCTGCTAAGGGCGCCTCTACCGCCAATACTCTGATTCATTTTATATCTCAATTAATTAATCTTAAAATAAAATTATACGTCACTAAAATATGGTTTTAAAATGAAGTAAATTAATATTTGATATGGTGCCATTCTATTTTTATAAATCACTGCCATCTATTCAAAGCTTGATAAACTAATTTATAGTTTATTCTGCTGCCATCTGTCTTCTACCTTGAAGCAGTTTTTTTAATGGATGATATTAGAACAAAGTACCCTGTTTACGCTATCGGTATATAAATTGTTAGGCCTCTAATGAGCGATGATAGATGAAGATGAAGCAAGTCAGTTCACCTATCGTAACTAATGCAACAATTCTTAAAAATCACAATGGTCTCCAGAGGAAACCGTGTGTCGACCTAATAGGGTATATTACCAGTAATGGGATTACTAATTCTCATTATTACCAATCCCTTCTCCGCCAATACCTTGAAACAGTTGTATTGCACGATAACCGTCATCTATAAACAAGAACAGCACCAAGGACGTAACAGAATACTCTGTGATGCTCATGAGTACCGTATGGGTTACCATTAAATATAGTCGTTTAAAGTTATAACATTTTATTTAACATGTTAAATTAAACTTAACATTATTATCACTTTCTTAATTCTATTTTTATAAATATAAGCCATCTATCCTAAGCTTGATAAACTAGATGATTTTACTGCCATTTGTGTTTTGTGAAGCAGTTGAGTTTTATTGCTATTTCAAATGGTTATCAGACAGATGGCCATTTGATCTGATCGCATTTACTTTACACACAGATTAGAGAAACTATTTTTAAAACCGTATGGTCCTGGTATAGGTCACCTCTTCTTTTCCGAAGGAGTCGTAAGAGGTGTCTAAGGAAACTTAATAGTCGAGGGCTGAGCAACAATATCCTTCTTTAAACATTAGTAAAGCCTAACTGCGATTGCTAATCCGCCTACCAAGCGCAAGTATACTGCCGGCCTTTGAAAAAGGAATATGCTCTTTTCTTGAAGGTGTTGTATCGGTTCGGAAATACTGCTGCTGAAAGTTGATTCCAAAAGGTGGTTGTGCGTGGAAGAAAGTGCCTTGAAAAACGCAGTGTGGACGACCGTCACTCATCCAGATGGTTGGGATGAATCTTTAGTTTGTGGTGGGTTGTACGGTGATGACAATAAGCAGCAGGTTTCAATCCGAACAATTCCTCAGAACACTCCCCATGATAAATTCAGTAAAAGATGCACAGAGATGCAACATCTCTACGCAGTTCCAGTGAGTCGAATCGGACAGTAAGGTGCTGATTAATAATTCGAGTCGCGTTTTTGAATGCGGTCTAACGCAAGTAGCTGGTACTGTGGCGCTCCTGCCCATAGATGCAGAATGTCAATACACTGCACCAAACGTCAAAATATCACTTTTGAATGTTTAATCCCGCCACCGTACTCATCGTTGTGGCGCTGCAGTCGCAATCGAGTTTTACAGAATGCCATGATATAATTTCACTCCGGATTCAGCTATCGAGTTTCGAAGTGATGCTTACCGAATAACACTACAGTATTCCTATATCGTCTTAGTCGTAGAATACTGACGGATCTTTATATGTAATCTTTGTCAGATCCGTCAGTATTCTACGACTAAGACGATATCTGGCATGACTTGAGCGTTATCCAATTTCAAGCGGTGTTCCTGCACAAAATATCGTCTTATTCCATATTCTAACATATATTATATATTCATAAATGTTATGATAAGAAAGGTAAATGTAAGAATATACAAAAGCAATTTTTGTATTAAGTTTAAAAAGACAGTTTTAATCTCTACTCTAGGATCTATAATGGTTATATTATTTTTCAATTCGCTCACTATTGACGCGGTATACTATAAAATGTGTTTTATATAATAACAAACAAAAAAAACATTTGTTTTGGTATAAAATCCCATTACATACATATTACCCAACGTAACACTTACCCAGGCTACAATCACAGACATAAGCAACAATAAACGATAGGATATCTTAAAAATACCGTCATTGCTTTTGTCTATACTAAAATTTACCTTCCTTACATTTAATTAAGATTGAAAATATAATTTTAATCTCTACTTAAGGATGTATAATGGTTACGATATTTTGCAAGCGCCTGCTATTAACGCAGTCTACTATAAAATATTTTCATTACGACTACAAAGAATAGGTGTAAAATTCCATTAGATGTGATCCAACCCAACGTGACTGTTTCCCAGAGTATAATAACCGACAGGAGTATTTCAAAAATACGGTTTTTATCTGTGTTAATATCTGATAAACTGTCACGTTAGGTTATACAAATCTAATAGTATTTTACACCCCAACACAGACAGTTTTTTGTTTGTTGTCATAATAAAAACATTTTACAGTAGACCGCGTCAATAGCGGGCGCATGAAAAAACATAACTATTACAGACCCTAGAGTAGACATCAACATTGCATTTTCAATCTTAATACAATATAGAGAAGGTAAATGTTGAAATAGATAAAAGCAATGACAGTATTTCTGAGATACTCTTGTCGTTTATGGTAGCCTGGTAAACTGTCACGTTGGGTTGTACAAATCTAATAGTATCGCCACAACAGATGTTTTGTGTTCATTGTCATTATAAAAAAAAAAACGTTTTATAGTAGAACCTGTCAATAGTACGTCAACTGTCACGTTGGGTTATACAAATCTATTAGGACTTTACACCCCAACACATGTTTTTTGTTTGTTGTCATAGTAAAAACATTTTACAGTAGACCGCGTCAATAGCGGGCGCATGAAAAAACATAACCATTACAGATTCTAGAGTAGATGTCAAAATTGTATTTTCAATCTTAATACAATATAGGGAAGGTAAATGTTGGAATAGATAAAAGCAATGACAGTATTTCTAAGATACTCCTGTCGTTTATGATAGCCTGGTAAACTGTCACATTGGGTTGTACAAATCTAATAGTATCGCCACAACAGATGTTTTTTGTTTATAATAAAAACGTTTTATAGCAATAATAGTAGTCACATGCAAAAATTATAAGAACTAAGCCGTAAAATTTTAGATTATGACGTATATTACGTACGTTATTCTAAGTCAGTTAAAATTGACAGTAATATACTAAATGGATTTAAAAAGTAACATTATTTAGCACTAGGTTAAAAGTATAGATTTAGTATAAGGTACTGTAAGGTTTAAAGGCCAACAGCGCACAAGCAACTCTTCTCGTATTGTAGATACTCATGGTTGACGGTAGCCACTTCCCATAAGGTGGATTGTCTGCTCGTTTGTCTCCATGACAATAGAAAAAAAAATTTCGTGTGATATATTTAATTCTATTTTTATAAATCCCTGCCATTATTAGATTTATACATTATTAGATAAATATTAGATGATTCTGCTACCATATATCGTTTGCCATGAATCAATTGCGTATATACCAAGTCGTTAAAGTTTTTTTTATACAACTTAAAATGGCAAACAAGCTGACGGCCCACCTTATAGAAAGTGGTAACCGTCACCTATAGACATGAGCAATACCATGGGCATAACAGAGTATACTGTGTCGCCCATGATACCCTTCATGCGTTGCCATTACTGAGTAATAATGACACCTTAGTGATACTAATGTACTTCGTAGTTTTACCGTCATATTCCACCCTTCAAACGGATACAATGCAAAAACAACTGCTTCACGACAAAAACACAAATGGGACAGAAGCGCGCAAGCAAATGACTTTTGTACAGTCTCCTCCATGTATCAATCAGATTCGAACTCACGACCTCTATGTTCTAAAAATCTACCGTATAACATTTACGGTATCGTGTACATGATTTGTTCTCAATATTCGAAGAGACATGATAAATATTTTCCAATTACAGATCGGCCTGCTCGGCATCCAAATAATTTGGACACGGGATGGAGAGCTGGCCCTGATGCAGGCGAGGCAAGATAAGAAAATCATGATGGAGACGAACAACAAGTTCCTCGAGCTACTGAACACCCTCATCGACCAGACCACCAGGGATCTGCTCAAGATTGAGCGCATCAAGTTCGAAACGCTTATCACCATACATGTCCATCAGCGGGACATTTTTGATATGCTGGTATTTTATTATTTTTAACAAAAAACTGCAACTATATATAGAATTAATCTTATCTGTGACTTCGTCAGACCAGATATTATCTATATAATAGATTAACCGACATTAACAATAGCCTATGTTGTTCTCCATCTTAAAAAAATTAATAAGGTTAACAGATTTAAAAAAAAAAACAACTTCTGTTGAGTTTCTTGCAGTTCCATACAAAAGGTATTCCGTTACTAGCAATATATGTTATCAGGTCGACCTACACGCAGTTCCTCCTGGAAACCATTGTGATTAATTCTTGTGAAATTCGTCACGACTCCAACTGATCTACTTTCGTCCTCGCCTATCATTTATCACTGATGCCTAGCCAGCGTACTCGTATACCGGTAACGCAGGTGGGGTTACTATGCCATTATCATTTACAAAAAAAAATGTAATACTATATCATATATAAATAAATAGGAAACATTAACTTGCCATAGGAAATTTAATAGCCGAGGCATGCACAACAGTGTCCCTCTTAAAACATATCCAAAGCTTAACTGCGGTTGTCAACTTGCCTGCCAAGTGGGCAACTACTGACAAAACCCCCTAATGGGAGGAGGCCTATGTTCAACAGTAGACAGTTAACGATTGATATGATGTTTCGTCGCAAGGGTATCACATTTATTTTCTACCAATTTTATAACGAGAATATTATCAGTAATGAAGTTTGTTAAAAATAATTGTGAATAAACAACAAACAAACAACAAAGTTTGGCCAAACTTACATAGAATTACCCAAAAACCTACTTTTTTGTCATAATCAATATTTTATTTTTTTTAGATAAATAAACAGTATCGAATAAACAAAAAATAATCAAAAAGGATACAAAATATTCAGGATGAAATGTAAATAAACTATTCTTACAATGCAGTATAAAAAATAGCTTAATTCGATGACCAAAAACGTTCAAAATAATAAGATAGATAGATAGAAAATTTTATTTACATTACTTACAGCACACAAATTACAATAAAAACATACACTTAATACATAGTAAAAAAGATAAAAAAAATAACATAATAAATTAGTTAAATAATAAAATTCAAAAGTATTAATGCATTTTTGCAAGTACCTAGAGAATGTATAGGAGTTCGGTAATTCATCTTCACCTCATATCCCTCACTGGCGTTCCACCAGCGTCAACCAACACGTAACCAACAGTTACCATTCCAAAATCATCTATTAAAAAAAAATGTGTTTGTTCTTAGTGTCGACTGAACGTACGCTCTGCGACCGATTTCGAATGGTTGAAGCAATGCCGTTTCTACTTTAAAGAGGACGCGGACAAAACTCTAATATCGGTGACAGATGTCACATTCGCTTACCAGAACGAGTACCTCGGGTGTACTGAAAGATTGGTCATCACACCGCTGACTGACAGGTGAAGAGAATCCATTTAAACATATCAATCTAGTTAGTAAATCCACCGATATATAGAACAGTTTAATTAAAGATATGATCCATAGAAAAACTAAATACAATTTTGACAAAACCAGAAGTTTTGATTTTAAAACTAAACTATAATATTCAACCGATTTTGATAATTCTGTAATCTGTAAATATACCGAGTTATTAGATAATAAACATTAAAAAAAAAACTCAACAGAATTTACTCCTTTTTATGAAGTGGTTTGAAAATAAAGTCCAATTACAGATGCTATATAACACTAGCACAAGCCCTGGCAATGAGTATGGGGGGCGCTCCGTGCGGCCCCGCAGGGACAGGCAAAACGGAAACCGTCAAAGATATGGGCAAGACACTCGCCAAGTACGTCGTCGTATTCAATTGCTCCGATCAAATGGACTACAGGTGGGTTTTTTTATTATGCAACCTAGAATGGCAAACAAGCTGACGGCCGACCTGATGGAGAGTGGTAACCGTCACCTATAGACGTGAGACGTACCATGGACATGACAGAGTATACTTTTTCGCCCATGATACCCCCATGCGTTGCCAATCCTGAGGACTCAGGTCCTCTGTTCCCTGTAAATTCACTGCCATATGCCATACTTCAAACCGAAACACAGCAATGCAAACACAACTGCTTTGTGGTTGAAACACGAATGGGAAAGAGGTGCCCAAGCAAATGACTTTTGTACAAAGTCTCCTGTTAAATTCCTGTGGGAATGGTATTTTTTCTCACATTTTTAATCATAATTAAAAAACCAAACAACCCCTTAGAAAGCCCTTTCATATAATATCCTACTTAGAGTAGTAAGTCAATTTCCAAATCTTACATTTTGGAGCCCCTAGCAAAGAAATAAAAATATTTTTTTCTGTTATTTCCATTGCATTTTATTGCTGATATATAATGCTGTGAGAGACAGAACGACTGACGGGCGTACAAAGTCGCACCATAAGGGTTTATTGTATCAATTTAGTACGGGACCCTAAAAGTAAATAAAAAAAAGCAAGTAATCGATATTTTATTTCAGAGGCCTAGGCCGGATCTACAAAGGCTTAGCCCAATCCGGCTCGTGGGGCTGCTTCGACGAGTTTAACCGGATCGAGCTGCCGGTGCTGTCTGTGGCCGCGCAGCAGGTCGCCGTCGTGCTCTCCGCCAAGAAGGAGAAAAAGAAGACCTTCATCTTCACCGACGGTGACACGTCCGAAATGTGCCCAGAATTCGGCATATTCATTACAATGGTGAGAAAACAATAGAAGATTTCAGAAAATTTTTATTTCAGATTTTCAATATTTTTGGTTACTAGTTCAATAATGGTGATTCATTTGTACACAATATATTTTCTTTATATAGAATTTTATTAATAATATATCAAACAAGTAACTAGTACCTAGGTACTAATTCCAATTATAATCTAGGATCGAGTACCCTGAATTTTAAGTCGTTTTCGAACTGTTTACCATTGGTAAATAATTTTAAATATGCCCAGAAGGTTGACCAAGAATTTCAAGAAATGTATACAATACATTAGATTAATAGATTTGTGTTATACGTTCTCTCCAGAAAACTATAAATATAATAATAATACACAAGCAAAATGGCAAACGTTACATTGCTCATTACCGCGGCCTACTGGGTCCCTTTTCTTGTCGGAATAAAACTATCCTATCTTTTAAGTTGGAGCAAACAATACATATTTACAAAATTTCACTAAAATTTATTAAGCGATTTTAGAGTGATTTAAATACGTATATATACTCATATATTGCCGTGTGGTCCCGACATAGAATAGGCCACCACTTTCTTTCCCGTGGGTATCGTAAAAGCCGACGAATGGACGAACGGGCAACAGCGTCCCTATTAAAACATCTCTAAAACCTGATTGCTGTTGCCAATCCGCTTGCCAAGCATGACAACTACTAGCAAGACTCCCCAAGGGAGAGGCTTATGTTTAGCAATAGACAGTTAAATATAATGATGATGATGACGACATACTCATAGATATACATTAAGGACATAAAGTTTGCTCATACAGAACCCAGGATACGCTGGCCGCAAGGAGTTACCAGAAAATCTCAAGATCCAATTCCGCACAGTGGCCATGATGGTGCCGGACCGACAGATCATCATACGAGTGAAACTGGCCTCCTGCGGCTTCTTAGAGAACATTACACTTGCAAGAAAATTCTACACCCTTTATAAGCTATGTGAAGAACAACTTACTAAGCAGGTAAACTTAGAATCAATCATCATTATCATCATACCCAACTACATAAATTTATGGGGTCATTTTAATATGTTTTTAAAAATTTAGAGTTACTAAACTAAAAACTGCATATAAGGCGTATTGAGTGGTTGTGTGAATTGGAGGTTGAATCAGATGAACTTGTGGAAATTAAGAGCAATACACAAAATATCGAGCCAATAAATAAATTTTCTGAGCCTCGAATCACATGCACTAGTCGTTTGATTATGGCTTTTAGTTTTACGACAAAACGCCTGCTTGATTAACCCTCCTTGAGAAAATTAAAAATTAGAACCTATATAAATATAAAATAGAGATTTGAATGGAATAGCTAAGATTCTCACTCTTGACGAAACTATTTCTTAAGTGACTTGATCTCTTGAGTGACTAGAAGAGCTTTTGACAGCTCTAACCTTTTTGTTTTATTATCATTATGATTGCCAGTAATTTCCACGCTTGCAGGCGGGTTGCCAACCGCAGTTAGGATTTAGCAGTGTTTTAAGAGGGACGCTGCCATTCATCCCTCGACCAATGAGTTACATTAGTCGTCTCTTACAACAGCCACGGGAAAGGAAGGAGTAACCGATTCTATGCCAGAACTACACAGCTCTAACCTTAGCTATTCCATTTAGGTAGATTCTTAAAAGTAGCCAATTAAAAGAATGCTTTTATTTACAAGAGCGTTACATCAGAGAAGTTTTTTTTTTATACTTTATTTTCTGTCGCTATTTTTCTTGCGACAACCTTCTTGTCTGTATTATTATTAACTGTGTATAAAATGGGGATTTTCTTTTTCTTTCTTTTTTTTTTATAGATGTATATATGTATAACATCAGAGAAGTTATGTAACATTTTGAAGTTCATGATTCAATATTACTACTCTAATACTTTTCCCCAGTTAATATTTAGAATTACAAGGTTCAGGATTCATGTAAGCAATATCTTGCTTTGTGAATAATAAACAAAATACTAATGTTAATGAATAATTTCCTTTTTATGATACTAGCTTATGCTACTTCGTACGCATGGATTTCAATAGTAGCTGCTACCACTGCAAGATGGTGTATCAAGGAGAAATCTAATCAGATTTTTAATTCTGACTTTCAGAAATACGACTATAATAACTGCATCTAATTGGGTGTAGTTTTTGCATGAGATGAATACAAATATACAAACAGACAGTTAAACAAAAATTTTAATAATGATTGTTTTTTCATATATTGGTCTTATTAAGACCCGTTATATTATTTTTTCTTAAATATTACTTATGTAAAGACATCGTCTAGTCACAATTTTATTATATAATATTAACTAGATATATACTATTTTTTTTAATATTGGACATTGTTAAATATGATCAGCGCAGTATGTAACGTCGGTAGAAAACAAACTCTACTGACCCCAAATATAAGATAACGATAGATACACGTGCTTATCATATGGAAAAAATATTATTTAAAAAAAAATTCTCGAAAATGCACTAACCTATTTTCCTGTCTGCCCATTTAACTGGTAAAAAAGAGATTGCTTACCGACATGGCTGTCTTTTGTATCACTTCTCATTAATATTAACTGTATTTATTATTTTTTTTTTTACTTGATGCAGTAAAGTGTAAAATAAATAAAATACCCAAGGTCCACTACGACTTCGGTCTTCGCAACATTCTCTCCGTACTCCGGACGCTTGGTGCGGTCAAACGAGTCAACTCTAAAGACAACGAGAGTACCATCGTGATGCGGGTCCTCAGGGACATGAACTTGTCCAAACTGATCGACGAGGACGAGCCGCTCTTTATATCGCTCGTTGCTGACCTTTTCCCGAACCAGGCCTTGGAGAAAACGACCTATACGGAGTTGGAGGAGAGTGTAAAGAAACAAGTGGAACAAACCGGCCTAATTTATCATCCGCCATGGGTGCTAAAAATCATTCAGGTAAGATTTACCAGAAGGAGACAAAAGTCGTTTGCTTGTGTACCTCTATCACATACGTGTTTCTGCCGTGAAACAACTGTTTCGGTTTGAAGGGTAGGCAATGAAATTACAGGGTACACAGGCTGTTATGCCTTAGTCCTCAGAAGTGGCAATTCGTGAGGGATATCATTGGCAACGCTGTGTACTCAATTATGCCCATGGTTGTGTTCATGTCTATAGACGACGGTTACCATTTTCTATCAGATGGGCTGTCAACTTGTTCGCCATTCTAACTTGCATAAAAAAACTATACCAATTAAACTGAAGCAGTCTTTCTTACTTAACACTAAATCTTTTTCAATTAAGTGTGAATGATAGGACAAGAAATAAAAGTAAAATAAGAGGGGCGAGGGAGATGTTAGTAATAGCCACATTTCTAACAATGTTCTTATCAGAGCCTTCTTCTTGTGGTTATTATATTATTGCGGTTAATTCGTGGTCAATTCAACAATGACCTAACTAACTCACTCAATGGGCCAATTGGTCTGCTAATACCAATTGCCAATTGTAGACCAATAACTTATGTGAATTTATCATTATATTTTTATTCATTTAAAAAAAAAATGAGGTACAAAGTGTTACAAACTTTCTAAAACTAAATTCAAAGAAATTTATGGAAAAAATAACGGAAGTAAATAAAAAATTATAAAGAAAAGAAGAAAATATATATAATGAAAACAAACATAATGTAATAATTCAAAAATTGAATTTATACAATTGATTGACTTGAATTGCAAACGGGTTTACATTCCATATGAAAAAAATCTTTTTTTTTGTACTGTTATTATCACAAACATTACAAAAAACATTGCAGTGCACATGATTTGCACCATCCATCATCCATATTTCAATTTAAATAATTTCTTAATGTTAATATCTCGTATTCGGATGTAAGAGTTAATATAAAAAAATATTGTAACTAGTTAAAACAGGAATATTTATTATATAAATTTGAAGTACACCAGTTTACAACCATCAACGAGTGCCACCAACGATTAACAGAAATTCCTATTTTGTTATATATAGGCTCACAATAATATGTAATGATTACATTAAGGTTTTAGTTAACAATAACTAACAATAAATTTTGTATCCTTCTTGCTTGCCTTGTTTCTTTTTTATCATGTCACACATTTTCTTTATATTAGGTAAGTCTACTTAAATGTAAAATTTTGTCCGTTTATATTTTGCCCTCCTATAAATCCACCGATTTAGTTAAATCATTAATAATAAACCATTATCAATGAAACAAATGAAATATAATTAAATAAAAATGAATTAGAAATAAGTTCAAGGGAATAATTTTTTTTTGTATTGAAAAATAAATTCGCAATTAGTCATGAAGTTATTATAAATATACAAAATTAAGATTTTTAATTTTGATTGTTAATGTTTAGCTCGTAAGAGTTAATATAAAAGGATATTGTAACTAGTTAAGGTCGGAGTATTTACCATATAAATGTGAAGTGTTTACAACCAAGAGTGTTTCACTCTCCACCAACCTCCCTCATTGCAAAGGTGTAATTGAGCAAAAATATTTAAAAACATTTAAGTATTTATTGATTTTATTTGTTACGAAATAACAAAATCTGTAATAACAATATAACATTTTTTTACAGTTGTATGAAACACAAAGGGTTCGTCATGGAATAATGACTTTAGGTCCACCTGGAGCTGGAAAAACTACGTGTATTCACACCCTAATGAATGCTCTATCTGAAACGGAACATCCTCACAGGTATACCTTTATCTATATTTTAAAAAGCGATTTTAAGCCCTCTTACATGATTTATTATCTTTATTTTTAGAGAAATGCGTATGAACCCTAAATCTATAACAGCAGCACAAATGTTCGGTCGACTAGATGTCGCCACTAATGACTGGACAGATGGCATATTTTCCGCACTGTGGAGAAAGACTCTAAAAATCAAAACTGGAGAACACATATGGTTGGTCCTAGACGGGCCAGTAGACAGCATATGGATTGAGAACTTAAACTCTGTGTTAGATGACAACAAAACACTAACTTTAGCTAATGGAGATCGACTGACAATGTCTCCAACTTCAAAAATTATATTCGAACCTGAAAATATAGATAATGCATCGCCTGCTACGGTATCCAGGAATGGAATGGTTTATATGAGCTCTTCAGGTTTAGACTGGGATCCAGGTAATATTTTCTAGTATTGCTATTAAAATAAAACTTGATATGCGAATTTAACAAAAACTTCTTCTAATTTTAGTTGTTCGAGCTTGGCTCAATTCACGATCCGCTTTAGAAGTGGAGGTATTCGGCACATTATTTGATAAAACGTTTCCTGTTGTATACACTTGGTGTACTCAAAATCTCGTCTTCAGTATGAAAGTACTTCAGAGCAATATTGTGCTTCAAATGCTCAGTATTTTGGAAGGGCTAGTACCACCACAGATAATTGAACCTGAAGATCCTTCTGGGTCTAAATCAGTAAATGGTGATATAGATGATGAGGACGAAAAAGAGAAAACTGAAGAAATTGTACTATTTACTCAAGAGCACTTGCACAAAATTTATGTTTTTACCTTGTTTTGGGGATTCGGTTCCTTATTGGAAACAAACGACAGAATGCGCCTTGATTCTTATATTAAGAAAAATTTTTCAGACATTCTCGATATACCCAAACATCCTAATAATAAACCATGTATTTCATTCGATTTTTATGTAAAGCACCCTGGAAAATGGGAATTGTGGGATGACTTGGTTATGAACTATCAGTATCCTGACACAGCAACACCAGATTATTCAACCATTTTGGTCCCTATCGTTGATAATGTGAGAATCAATTATCTCATCCATTGTATTGCGAAGCAAGGAAAAGCAGTGCTTCTTCTAGGCGAACAAGGCTCTGCTAAAACAGTAATGATGAAAGCTTATATGAAAAATGCAAATCCTGAGCAGTTTATGGGCCGGTCATTCAATTTTTCCTCGGCTACAAGTCCGTACCAATTCCAAAAAACAATAGAAAGTTATGTTGAAAAGCGAAGTGGTATGACCTTTGGGCCGCCAGGAGGAAAGAAAATGCTGGTTTTTATAGACGATATCAATTTGCCAGAAATTAACGAATGGGGCGATCAAATTACCAACGAAATCGTAAGACAGACAATGAGTATGGGTGGATTCTATAGTTTGGAGAAACCAGGTGACTTTACCACAATTGTTGACATCCAATTTTTAGGTGCAATGGGACAGCCAGGTAAAATTTATTTTAATAGTAACTATATTAGGTACCTATTTAAAATATTGTTAAATCATAATAGAATATTATATATTTCAGGGGGAGGAAGAAATGATATTCCAGCACGATTGAAACGGCAGTTTGCAATATTCAACTGTCCTCTTCCAAATAATGACGCCATTGACAAAATATTTAAAGTTATCGGCGAAGGTCATTACAACGCAAAGCGAGGGTTCACTATTGAAGTGAGAAATCTTATTAAAAAAATCATACCTTTGACAAGAGAATTATGGATGAGAACTAGACAAAATTTATTACCAACACCAGCAAAATTTCATTATGTTTTTTCTTTAAGAGATTTATCTCGTGTTTGGCAAGGTTTGGTAGGTACTTTGCCTACAGTAATTGAGTCTGAAAAATGTTTAATGTTATTATGGAAACACGAATGTTCAAGAGTATTTTCGGATCGATTTACACATCAAGCTGACAAAGATTGGTTTAATAAAGCTTTATATGATACTGCAGAGGAAATATTAGGATCCGAATATAAAAAAATGATGGAAAAAGAACCTGTATTCGTAGATTTTATGAGGTAATAATCATAACTTTTATTTGTATTTGATTTAAAAATAAATGTAAATTATAACATATTTTATTACAGAGATGCACCAGAGCCAACTGGTGAAGAAGGTGAAGATGCGGACATGGAATTGCCCAAAGTATACGAACCCGTATTTGATTACAGTGAACTACGTGAACGCTTAGATATGTTTCTTGCACAATTTAATGAGATGGTCAGAGGATCAGGCATGGATCTTGTTTTCTTCCCAGACGCCATGTTTCATTTGGTAAAAATATCAAGAGTTATAAGGCATCCGCGAGGAAATGTCATGCTTGTAGGAGTAGGAGGCTCAGGCAAACAGTCTTTGACTAAATTATCCACTTTCATAGCTGGGTACCGATCCTTTCAGATTGCTTTAACCAGATCGTACAACGTCGGTAATTTCTTAGAAGATTTAAAATTACTGTACAGATCATGTGGAGTGCAAGGTAAAGGAACGACATTTATCTTTACGGATTTGGATATAAAAGAAGAAGGTTTCCTAGAGTATCTAAATAATATCCTATCCTCTGGTGTGATATCAAATCTATTTACGAAAGATGAACAGCAAGAAATAATTTCCGAATTGACTCCTATTATGAAACGCGAGAATCAAAAGCGAACGATAACCAACGAGTTGGTGATGGAATATTTTCTAAATAGAACGTGTCAAAATTTGCATGTTGTTTTGTGTTTTTCACCTGTGAGTGTTTGATATTCTGATGTAAATTTATTGTGATTATCTTTTATGGTTTTTCACCTCTATAATATTATATAATGTTTATTTTAGGTTAGCGAAGCTTTCAGATATAGGGCGATGCGGTTTCCTGCTTTAATATCGGGTTGTACTATTGATTGGTTCCAACCATGGCCTAAAGATGCCCTTGTATCTGTAGCCGATCACTTTTTAGCAGAATTTGAAATAGAATGTACAAAAGAAGTAAAAAAAGAACTAGTTACTGTCTTAGGAACAATTCAAGATGTAGTATCAAAAGTCTCCACCGAATACTTCCAAAGATTTCGACGATCTTCACATGTTACCCCTAAATCATATCTCAGTTTCATTGGGGGATACAAAACTATCTACCAAATGAAACAGAAGGAGTTAGGGGACGGAGCTTCAAGAATGGATACAGGCTTAGAAAAACTACGCGAAGCTTCGATAGCAGTGGAAGTTTTAAAAAAAGATTTATCTGTAATGGAACAAGATTTAGCTCTGGCCTCAGAGAAAGCCGATCGTGTATTAACAGAAGTAACAGAAAGAGCTATGCAAGCTGAGATAGTAAAAAATCAAGTACAAATAGTAAAAGAAAAAGCAGAAGCTCTAGTGGCATACATAGCTGAAGAAAAAGAAAAAGCAGAAAGGAAATTAGAAGCAGCAAAACCAGCTTTAGAAGAAGCTGAAGCTGCTCTAAATACTATAAAACCAGCACATATTGCAACAGTACGAAAACTAGGACGACCACCACATCTTATTATGAGAATTATGGATTGCGTATTGATATTATTCCAACGGAGATTACATCCGCTGATACCGGATACAGCTGCACCATGTCCAAAGCCATCGTGGGCTGAGTCATTAAAGGTAAATTGTGTATCAAGTATTAATATTGAAATAGCTATCCTTATCTTATCCCACAATTTGTAATCTATGCAGTATGTTATTCTACTCTCTTTATTATTATAATTTATCTTTAAAACATTTTTATGATAATTTTTTTTAGCCTGTCTTGCACTGACCATTGGCGAAATAGGTTATTAACATTATTATATCCCTTAGATGATGGCCAGTACCACATTTTTGCTTCAACTGCAAAACTATCCAAAAGACATTATCAATAACGAGATGGTAGAACATCTCGTTCCATACTTTGAGATGGAAGACTACAACATGGACACAGCTAAGCGGGTCTGCGGAGACGTTGCTGGTTTGTTGTCATGGACTAAAGCCATGGCATTTTTCCACAGCGTCAATAAGGAAGTATTACCTTTAAAAGCAAATTTAATGATGCAGGAAGCTAGATTAAAGGTATTATTATTACTATTTTCTTTTTTGAGCACCGTTGGATATATTTACAAAATAACACTTTATATAAATTACAGGTAGCTATGGAAGATTTAACATCTGCAGAAAGACAACTTGAAGAACGTGAAATGTCCCTCAGAGCAGTAAAAGAGCAATATGAGTCCGCCGTGTCAGAAAAACAGCAATTAACTGATGCCGCCAATGTGTGCTTAAGGAAAATGACTGCTGCCACTGCATTGATAAATGGGTTAGGGGGCGAGAAAATTAGATGGACCCAGCAAAGTAAAGACTTTAAAGAGCAACTTGGTAGGTTGGTTGGAGATGTGGTCTTAGCTACCGGATTTTTATCGTATTGTGGGCCATATAATCAAGAGTTTAGAAATGGGTTGCTGGATACATGGATGGGAATTTTGAAGAAAAAAGAGATACCTGTTACTGACAATTTGAATATTACAAATATGCTTGTTGAAAGTGCTACTATTTCCGAATGGACACTACAAGGACTTCCTAATGACGATCTTTCAGTTCAAAATGCTTTAATTGTCACAAAAGCAAGTTCATATCCTCTATTGGTTGATCCTCAAAGTCAAGGAAAAAATTGGATAAAAAATAAAGAAAGTTCAAATGAACTACAAATTACCTCACTAAACCACAAATATTTCCGAACTCATCTAGAAGACAGTTTGTCACTTGGCAGACCATTATTAATAGAAGACGTTGGTATAGAATTGGATCCTGTTATTGATAATGTTCTAGAAAAGAACTTCATAAAATCTGGATCGATAGAAAAAGTAATGGTAGGTGATAAGGAATGTGACGTAATGCCTGGTTTTATGCTGTATATTACTACTAAGTTACCTAATCCAGCATATTCACCCGAAATAAGTGCTAAAACGTCTATAATAGATTTTACTGTCACAATGCGAGGTCTAGAAGACCAGCTGCTAGGTCGAGTCATACTTATGGAAAAATCTGACTTGGAAGAGGAACGTGTCGCATTATTTGAATCAGTAATGAAGAATCAAAGAAGTATGAAGGAACTGGAAAGCAACCTACTTTGTCGACTAACTTCTTCAGAAGGCTCTTTAGTTGACGACGAAGCCCTTATTCAAGTACTGCAAATAACAAAAACAACAGCCGAAGAGGTAAATGAAAAGTTAAAAGTAGCCGAAGTCACAGAGAAAAAAATTGTTAAGGCAAGGGAAGAATTTAGAGCAGTCGCTGCAAGAGGATCTATCTTATACTTTTTAATCGTTGAAATGAGTAACGTCAATCTTATGTACCAAAACTCTTTAAAACAATTCCTTACCATATTTGACAATTCCATAACCAAATCTACTAAAAGTAACGATACAGAGGAAAGAATTAATATAATTTTAAAATATTTGACTCATGAAGTTTGGGCATTTACGCTGCGTAGTTTATATGAAAGACACAAAGCATTATTTACATTGATGTTGGCTATGAAAATTGACTGTCATAGGGGTTTGATATCCCATGATGAATTTATGGCGTTTGTTAAGGGTGGGGCTTCTCTCGACCTGAATGCTGTCACTCCGAAACCGTTCAGATGGATCTTGGACATCACATGGTTAAACTTAGTTGAAATAAGTAAACTAAAAACCTTCTCTGATGTGCTAACTAGGGTAAGTATGTTATTAAAATATTTAATATATTATAATAATGAGTAATTTTTTAAAAATTTATGTTAATTTAAGTTGAATGAGTTATGAATTTGTACTAAATTGAAATTTGTTTGTAAAGATATCATCAAACGAGAAGGAGTGGCGTACCTGGTACGAGAAAGCCAAGCCCGAGGAAGAAGTCATACCTAGTGGGTACAACGATAGCCTCGATGTGTTTCGAAAGCTCCTCCTCATTAGATCCTGGAGTCCGGATCGCACTTTATCGCAAGCAAGGAAATATATAGTTGGTAGGTATACCCACAATTAGGATGAATGTCCAAAAAATTCAAATCAACTTTATTTAAATAGTCTTTTTTTATGAATGCAGAATATTATAGTGATATCAAGTCAGTAAAGTATAAAATCTAGGAACTTTTAAAACTTAGATGTTTAATAATAGTAATACTTTCAGTATAATAATATTGGAATAGAATAATACTATAAATACAGTATTAGAATACTAAAACATACTAAAAAACGAATGTAATAAGCCAATGAAATATCTAAATTAAATAAAAAACATTTACGTAGTTTGGTCGAACCTGAACAAAGTGGTAAAGAAAAATTTAAATTGTTTTAAAAAAGTGTACAAATCCTATCGTAAATAATTTTATAGACTCTCTCGGTCCCGAGTACGGCGAAGGATGTATCCTGAATCTAGAAGCAACATGGGAGGAATCAGAACCTCGCACACCGCTTATATGCATACTATCCATTGGATCCGATCCCTCGGCGCAGATCGCTGCTCTCGCCAAAGCAAAAGAAATTGGTAAAAACATAAATCTCTTCTTTATGTTCTATAGTATAAAATCTTTATATTTCGTAATATAAAATTTTAATTACACGCATATTTTGCTTCTAGTTTTAAAAGCAGTTTCTATGGGGCAAGGTCAAGAAATTGTAGCGCGCAAAATGATCTCAGACTCAATGAGTGAAGGAGGCTGGGTGCTGCTACAAAATATCCATCTGTCATTGCCCTTCTGCGTTGAAGCTATGGACGCCCTTATCGAGACCGAGCACATACAGGAGTCATTCCGCTTGTGGCTTACCACAGAAGTCCACACGGAATTCCCTATAGGCCTACTACAAATGGCCATTAAGTTCACAAACGAACCACCTCAAGGTATCAGAGCGAGCATGAAGAGGACCTATCAAAACATTACTCAAGATTCTTTGGACTATTCATCATTACCGCAATGGCCACCGTTATTGTATGCCGTAGCGTTTTTGCATACGATAGTCCAAGAAAGACGAAAGTTCGGGCCTCTCGGTTGGAATATACCGTATGAATTCAATCAGGCTGATTACGCAGCCAGTGTTCAATTCGTCCAGAACCATCTCGATGAAATAGACCCTAAGAAGGGTATTTCCTGGCCAACCATCTGTTATATGCTTGGCGAGGTTCAGTATGGTGGTCGTGTCACGGATGATTTTGACAAACGACTTCTCACAACATTCACTAATGTTTGGTTCTGTGACGTACTTCTGAGGCCCGGCTTTGAATTTTATAAAGGCTATAAGGTACCCCAGACGCGAAATTTGCAAGGTTACGTAGATTATATAAACCAACTTCCCTTGACAGATACCCCAGAAGTATTCGGTTTGCACAGCAATGCTGACATAACGTTTCAAATCAACAGTGCTAAAGATATATTGGACACTATTTTGAGCGTACAACCGAAGGAAGGTGGTAGTCAGGGTGGAGAAACCAGAGAAAGTATTGTTTACCGTCTAGCAGAAGATATGTTAGAAAAACTACCGAAACAGTATGTAAGTTTCGAGGTGAAGGAAGCTTTACAAAAGATGGGTGCATTTCTACCTATGAATATCTTTTTGAGGTAAAGTACAGTATCTAAACAATGTAACAATTATAGTATTATTGTTGATACTAAAAATATTACATAATTTACGTTTTCTATTCAGACAGGAGATCGACAGAATCCAACGAGTAATCAAGACTGTATACTCAACGCTGTGCGATCTAAAACTGGCAATCGATGGCACCATCGTGATGAGTCAGGGGCTACGGGAGTCCCTCGACGCTATGTACGACGCGCGTATACCACAGAAATGGTTAAAGGTACAACCCAACTCGCCCATATTATTTCATCTCAGGTGGTTTTTTTTATATAATTCAATATTTTGTATATACCTACAGAATTATTTAAACACAACCTTAACAAAATTATTATTATATACTAATACTATACTAAAATTACAACTAGACCATATCTAAGTAGAAAATATTTAAGGAAAAATAATATGAGGGCTCTTAATAATAGCAATAGAAGTCAAAAGAAAAAATTTCAGAAAGTTTATTAATCTATATACCTATGTATGTTATATATATATAGACTAGCAATCCGCCCGGCTTTGCACGAGTAGATAGAATTTTTAAAATCGGTTTAGTAGTTTCCGTTTCATCAATCAAATCTTTCACCTTATCATATTAGAACAGTGTAAAGAGTATTTTTTTATACTATGATATTAGTATAGATTTATGATGACCTATAAAACAACACCTCATTTCGTGAAATTATCATAATAAATTTTATTTTAGTTTAATAATCTATATTTATAATATGAATGCACTACAATCTCTGAGACTTGAAAAATTTAATTTGCATTTGATTGCTTTCTTGAGCAAGGTTGTTGTTGTTGTTGTGGCTGTTGAACAATACGACACAATCACGGGCAAAGCCGCAGGATAAAGCTGTACTTTTATGCGTGTAGGTATCATGGGAGTCGGCCACATTAGGCTTCTGGTACACTGAGCTGCTTGAACGCGAGCAGCAGTACCGTGTATGGTTACGAAACGGCAGGCCCAATACGTTTTGGATGACTGGCTTCTTCAACCCCCAAGGATTCCTCACCGCTATGAGACAGGTAATTATGGAACAGATAGTAACACCACGTCTCATTTTTGTATATTTTTATATCACGTATCTATCTATACAGCGCATCCACTTGTCATATCCGTCCTCTTTATAAATCCATCCCGCTCTATATAAAGAAAAACAATTTTTTTATATTCATTTTTATATCTTCAGTTTTTCCATGCTACTCATGTCGTGTTTCTTATATCTGTTATTTTATACAAATTATTACTATACTTATAAAATATATTGCTATCAACTCTTCAAATCTTATATCTTCTACTTTTATACCGACCCTCCCGTACTGGTGATTCCGGCGTGATTTGTGCACGCTCCTATTTCTTTTAAATAAATGTGTAGTTTATATCTAAATACACAAAATATTATAAAAATAGTATATACTATCGAATGACAGTTTTTTTGCAAATAATTCCTAATTTAACATTTTAATTTGATGGTTTGGAATTTCTTTCTAACGGAAATAGATTACATTCCTTCTATGTTTGGAATGATTGTCTGTTTAATATGATGTCACACAATTTTTTTTTTTAAATTGAGAACAGCTGTACTCCTGAAGGTTACAGTTAAAGTTTGGTGTATATTTTGTGTTGATATACCATTTACATTATATATTAAATTGGTTTTCCTACTTCTGTAATCCACCCCTTCGTTTACCGTGGGTATCGTAAGAGACGACTAAGGGAACCTAATGGTCTTGGTGGAAGGGCAGCAGCAACCCTCTTAAAATATCAGCAAAAGCCTAATTGCAACTTGTTTATCAAGCGTGACAATTACTGACAAACCTCCATTTAACCTCATCTATTTTTTTAACGTTCCACCTACTTATTTATTCTTTAATTCTTTCTACAACTATACAATAAGACCGCCTTTTGTTCTACACAAGACTTATTGAAAATTCTTCAAAAGTCTTGTAATATTGGTGCAATTAAGTGTTAAAAAAATTAAAAAAAAACTCTAAAGGAAGAGGCATATGCTCTCATTTATGTTATATGATGAAGATGACGATTACTTGACCGTTGTCAGGAAGTGACGCGCAGTCACAAAGGCTGGGCTCTTGATTCTGTGGTATTGCAGAATCTCATCACAAAATTCAACAGAGAAGATGTACACGAAGGGCCTGCAGAAGGAGTTTATGTTTATGGACTATTTCTTGAAGGTTTGTTAACATTTTCTATTAGATATAATTGTGTATCTGAAGATCTAACTTAATATCTAATGTACAGTTTATCTTGATACGCCATTCAGAATTGTCCGTTTCTATTCTACTTCTGAGATCCACGTTTAAGAAGTAGTAGACAAAAATGTAATAGATAATAAACTAAGTAACAATGGCTCGACAGACATCATTTACTGTTAAAACGCTTTGCTTGAAAATGTTCCCAGAAATGCCCTCCCCTTGACAGGGCCATAGATTTATATCAAGATTTAGCATAAAGCTGATTGATTAGGATGCGTTCAATTCAAAAATATTAATATTATAATTTTAAAGATATATTATAGTAGCTAAATAATATTGCAGTAATAAAATAGGTAGATCAGAGGCAGACTTTATAAACAATTATTTCAGGAGCATCACTGGACAGAAAGACAGGTAAACTCATCGAATCCAAGCCCAAAGTGCTGTATGAACAGATGCCCGTCATCTATATATTTGCGATCAACACCACAGCTGGGAAGGACCCTCGGCTCTACGAGTGCCCTATATATAGGAAGCCGCAGAGGACCGACGCTAAATACGTGGGATCAATTGACTTTGAAACCGACAGCAGCCCGCGGCACTGGACGCTAAGGGGCGTGGCGCTTTTGTGCGATATCAAATAGATGAAGATGACAGTGATGGTGATGAGAATGATGTTTCAATTTCTCTTACAATACCATACAATAACCACTTATTAACACTCTCTAGTTAGCACGGGTCTCACACTAAAGAAGAGATTATGTTTTTTATAAGCATAATAACTATAATAACGCTTCCCAATAGCACTAAGAATAATATATGAGCATTTTTTTATAAGACTACGCTTTACAAATGCGGTCTTATTATTAATAATAATTTCTTACATATATATTTATATTCAATTTACTAACGTCCCACTTCTGGGATCGAGTCTCGTTTCATGCTATTATGGTGTTGGTCAAGAGATTCGACATTGATTTCATTTCAAATTACCCATCTATATTTTCACCCTATATTTCTTGGGAGGACCCAACAATAATGGACTTGAGAACTACACAGTTACAAATCTTGCTTCGACCAGTTTCATACTTTAATAACATTAATATTATCTTTGTACGATATATTAAAAGCCATACATACAAGATTTCTTTATTTAAGTTCTTAATTGTGTATTTCTAGTTGTGTATCAGGACATAATATATTATATTTCCCTTTAAAGGTAAAAATAAAGGAACTTTGATCCTTCCAAAATATTCATTTTTGATTTCAAATTTTTTTAATTGTTTAATTTTTATTTTATCCGGTTTAATTTAAATAGAAAGTTCTCATAAATTATATATGTACTACAACATAAGTACAGAATAAAAGACCCAAATTTCATCATCTGCACCATACAATACATGTAGAAATATACCTACACTTTTCAAAAATATTACATTTACGTAACACACATACATATATCTGTTATCATTGGGGTAGACAGAAGCAATAGAACTTCAAATTCTTTGAGTCCTCTTTCGTTTCCTCGACATGTATCGATCTATCGAAACGAGTTCTCCGGTTCTCAATACTAGTGGATACATCAAGAACAAATAAACATTTCATTTCATTTGCCAACAGTTGTTGTTATTTCTTATATACCTACCTCTACGGACTTTAATCAGTAATAAGGTTAACGCACACAACGCAATAAAAACACACACTTCTGTTTTACCATTTAGGTACTAATATTATGTGAAAGGTTGTAAAGATGTTTATGCGTTTGTCACATTTCAACAGCTAAACGAAATGTAATGATGTTACAGGTAGGTTATATTTAAAATACACACATACGACGAAGATGTTGGCGTACATTAACGAGTGGCGGTCCTCCACCGTGCGTTTTTCAAGGCACTATCTCCCACGCACAACAACTCTTTGGAATCAACTTCCAACAGCAGTATTTCCAAACCGATACGACAACATAACCCTCAAGAAAAGAGCATATTCCTTTTTAAAAGGCCGGCAGCACACCTGCAATGCCGTTGGTGTTGTGGGTGACCATGGGCGGCGGTAGTCTCTTACCATTAGGTGAGCCGCATGCTCGTTTGCCCCCTGTGTTGTAAAAAAAAAACTTTATGTACACTTAATAGGTGAGAAGGTAACTTAGTACCAAATATTGGCACCTCAAAGAGTATTTTAAGTAAAATCACATATATGTTTGCCTATCTCCTACGGGAAGATCCCGTTATAGGCACCAGACATTTCTGAGGTGGACACGATTCACCCCGTCCCCTTAAATACGCCTAAGGTACCATACCATACAAATCTTACAAACTACAAGAAAGTGCGTACTTACCTATGGATACTTACCTACATACTAGTCCCATTGATACTGATATACTCTGTTAGGTCGACCTCCACGTGGCCCCCTCTGGAAACTATCGTTTATAATTCCAAGTGTGTTCATAACGAGTGGCTAACTGGCCTGCCTTTTCATTCTCATCTATCATCCCTCATTGGCGCCCCGCCAGTATATATCGATAGCGCAGACGGGGTTACCATTCCTTTACCATACATTAAAAAAATAGGCGCGGTTTTAGACAATCTAATCATTATTTTAGTGGTTTTTTTAAAAAAGATTATGTGTATAATAATAAGGAGTAGAATAAAAATAATACCTATGCTGTAAACCAGGTGATGAGTAAAGGCGCTTTTTAGGATCAGGTAGCAAAACACGCGCCGTATCGAAAAATCCAAAATACGTCGCGCGACAGATGACGCTTTGCCTTCCGTCTACAATATCTTCATAAGACAATCGATCAAGCCATTAAACTCTTTCGCCCTAATTCCTAAAAACTATTACCGTTTACATATCTATTTTAACTATTACACTGTTTTGTCTCTTTCTTTCAAATGTATTATTAAACATAAAGGAGAAGGACAAAAGAATTCAATAGCTAAAATAGGTGTACGAGAGATTTGATGTTTTTATAAATAAGGGATTTTACACTCGCCTCTACCGACGTCCGCAACTGAAATAGAAAAAAGTATCAATGGCAGGTAATAAGGTCCTTGAGTAGACGTCAAAAATGTATTTTCAATCTTAATACAATGTAAGGAAGGTAAAAATCAGAACAGAGAGAAGCAATGATGGTATTTTTAAGATACTCCTGTTGTTTATTATAACCTAGTAACCTGTCACGTTGGGTTGCATAAATCTCATGGAATTTTACACCAAAACAATTTTTAATATAACGTGCAAATAGCGATCGCATGCAAAATTTAATGCCACTTTTCGTTGTAATTTTATAACTCAACAACGGGCTCACCTATCCAAACCAAATGTATTCGGTTCAATTAACGGTGAAATTAACGGTTCTCACAAATTAAACAGTTGCTACAATATACCTACAGAATAAAGGAGCCAAATATCGACATCTGCACCATACAATACATACCCACCCGTCCACCCACGCATATACGAGTACGTATGAAACCATATGTTTCAAACCATACAAAGCAACTAAACTAGAATAAAAATAGTAAATTATAAATAGTTTAATTCATTTCCACACATTACAGAAGATTAAAGTTTCTGTACCCTACGCTGCTACCTTAATTTAATGATGCTATGGCAGCCTGTTAATTAATGTAATTAGCGTATTAAGATCATTTTCCAAAGTGGGAAGCTTCGCTTGCATCTGGAGTGAGAACCAAACAAATCTAAGATGGGAACGGCCCACCCGATTTCATCCTCATAAATACATTATTATTGCACTGTTTTGTCACTTTCTTTCAAATAAAAAATTTTGCACAAAAGAGACAAAAGAATTCAATAGCTATTATTTAAGAGATGTTTGACGTTTTTATAAATAAGGTGTCTCTACCGACGTCTGCAGCTGATCTGAAATAGAAAGGTGTCAATAACAATGTCTTTAGAGAAACGTAGGCCCTTGAATGGACGTCAAAATTGTATTTTCAAATTTAATGCAATGTACGGAAGGTAAATGTTGCAATAGACAAAAGCTATGGCGGTATTTTTAAGATACTCCTGTCGTTTATTGTAGCCTAGTAAACTGTCACGTTGAATTGCATAAATCTCATGGGATTTTACACCAAAACAAGTTATACAATTTGTATAATGTTTGTAAAAAAAACATGTATGTCCTATGTATGTCCTATTTATGTCTGTCCATAGTGATTGCATGCAAATATTTAAGAGATCTAAGCTATAAATGTAATGTAAAAAAAAGTTATAATTAAGTTATATTTATTAATCACCATAGAAAATAGTGACAAATTTCTGTAGAATTTATGTACAAAAATCTACCTATTAAAATATTAATACGCTGAGAGAAAGTTACAATGTAAAGTCTTCTGTTCTGCCGTTTACGGCAGCTATTTTGTGATAAAATGCTCTGGAGAAAAAAAAATCACACTTTAATTAATAAAATGAGAAGTACAGACTGGTTCAATAAAACATTGATAATATAATACAAAGAATCAATTAGACCAACCAAAAAATCTACGGTGATTGATAAATACATCTTATAAATTTATTAAGTTAGATTTATTGCGGGGTTTTAGATGAGAGCTCACATATTTTATTGTATTATTGTTTTAAATTGTACTAATATTATGTGAAAGATTGTAAAGATGTTTGTGCGTTTGTCACACTTAAACGGCCAAACAAATTTTTGTGAAGTTACACAGATAGACGGATATGTTATATTTTAAATATATACGACGATGTTGATGCACTTTATGTACACTTAATAAGTAAGAAGGTAACTTAGTATCAAATATTGGCATCTTTAAGATTATTTTATGTAAAAGTACATATAGCTTTGCCTATCTCTTGCGGAATGATCCTGTGGTAAACACCAGACAATTCTGAGGTGGGCACGACCCACCTGGCCCCCTTAAATACGCCCAAGATACCAAACCATACAAATATTGCAAACTACAAGAAAGTACGTACTAATCTTTGGGTACTTACCTACGTACTTAATAATATTGTTATTTACTGAACCAGTCCAAGAAAATGAAACCACAAATTTATAAAAATGTATTAAATAATTATGAAACAACAAAAAAAGACTCTATAGTGCACCTTCTTAAAAGTTATACACAGTACTCACAAGTATAAAAAAAAATGTAGGCACGGGAAGGCCCCTCGGTACACAAGTAGGTCTTAACTCGGGCAAAATAGGTTACTATCACTAGAGTATATCCATAGGACTTAATCACTGGTTACGAGATTTTTTGTTGCCATAACGTCAAGCCACAGTAGACTAAGGAAAACAAATTTAAAATTACAAATCTACTCATTCCTTTACTATGAAATTCCTGAATGCGGTATCCTACAGCAGTTTCTTTATTTCATCATATAAAACCAGTACAAAAGCACCGCCCGTGCCTCTCAGAACATTCGACAAGGCGCCCTTGAAAAAAGCGCCGATTCCTTCAGTGCGAAGGATGGTCGCCCAACAGTGTAGCGTATTCTTGTAGACACGTTCATTAACGGGCCGTCCCGATTGCATCATCATACGCCTTCGCACAGTATCCAGTGGATATGACGTGATTCCCGCCAACGTTGTCACAGTCTAGATTAAGAGAAAAAATATCAACAGACTTAATAATAAAAAATAAAAAGTTTATTTCATTGCATATTACAAAAGTTAAAAAAATTTGTAGACTACGTTATTGACTTAATTTAATGCAGCTGCCATAGCCTGTTAATTAATGCCATGGGCGTATTAAGATAACTTTCCAGAACGAGAACCTTCGCTCACATCTGGGGTGAGCACCAGCCAACTCTGCGGTATCGGGGGGGAGAAGAGATTCTTAGTAATGGAGATTAGTAGCTCCATTGCTAGCAATATACCCTGTCATGTTGACCTCCTCGTGGCTCCCGCTGGAAACCGATTTATTGATAGATTCGTCAAGGTGGGCTAACTGACTTACTTCATTCTCTCCTATCATCTCCTTCACTGGTGCCCCGCCTGTGTATACCGATAGTGCAGGCAGGGTTACAATTCCATTAACATCCATAAAAAAAATCTGGGGTATCGGCCCACCTGATCCCATCCTTCTAAATACAATTGTGATTAATGTAACAATACCTAATATCCAACCTTCGTAGTTCTGATGTGGGATGGAAAAAATATAAAACTACACTTTTCATTCATTAACCACCTGAGACCGCAAACTTCTCATCCTCTCCTCATTCATGTGATAGTACCCTAGTATCCAACCTTCGTAGTTCATACTTAACCAACTATCCAAGCAAGATTATAAAATATAGAAAAGAGCAATTATAAAATCAATTTTTCTACTGTAAATACAACGACCCCGTGCTAACACAGATAAATGAAGTTTTTAAACATAAGTTTGTACAGAATATTATATTATATCTGCAATATTACTAAGAACTATAATAAAAATAATACCTGTGCAATAAGCCAGGTAATCAGTAAAGGCGTGTTTTTAGGATCAGGTAGCATGTCACGTGCCGTATCGAAAAAACCAAAGTACGTCGCGCGATAAATGATGATGCCTTGCACAGAAACTATAAACCCTCGGTAGAGACCGATTGGGCCGTCCATCTTCAATGTCTTAACTAAACAATCAATCAAGCCATTAAACTCTTTATCTTTGCCTTTACCGACATCCGCAGCTAATCTGAAATAGAAAAGAATGTCAATAACAATGTCATTAGAGAAAACTCTCGAAGAAAGTTCCGACTTTTGTAAAAACTGCTTGCCTGCTTCTATAGCTAACTAGTGTTTCTGCCGTAAAGCAGTTATGCTTGCATGACTGTTTCGGTTTGAAGGGTGAGATATGGTAGTAAAATTACATGGTTTATAGGGCATACTATCGTAGTAATCAGGAATGGCAACGCATAAGGGATACAATGAGCATCATAGTGTATTTTGTTGACCATGGTGCCGTTAGCTTGTTATTAAAAATATCATAAAAAAAAACTAATATGTAACTAATCAATGGTTTCAATTCTTGGATAGAACATTTTCAAAATTCTAATCTGAGGTATTCGCTTATATTATACTTGAGTACCAATCCAATGACGCCAATATCAAATCGCTTCAAACTCGCATTTGTATACTTAATTCCTGTTATGAGTATATAACCTGATTGTCATTTGCTTTGGTCAGAGACCTTTGTTATAAACAAGGAAGGCAACTTAGGAAACTTCACCATGTAAGATATTAATTACCTTGTTCGTGCATAGTCTAATGGATACACGAAACAAAGCGAAGTCGCTCCAGCCGCTCCTCCCGAAGCCAGGTTACCGGCGAAGTACCTCCAAAATTGGGTGTTTTTATCGATCCCCTCAAGAAATATGCCCTTGTAAACATCTTTAAAGGCGAAGTTGAGCGCCTGTGTCGGGAAGTATCTGATAACGTTTGCCAAATTCCCTCGCCAGAACGACGTTATGCCTTGTTCCTTAGGTATCCGAATGAAAGCGTCGATAATACCTGTAGAATATAAAAAACTTGCTAAAACCCGCCTGTTTGCTTATGTAAATATATGAATTCCATATTAATTATTATAAATATTATATTTGCCATCTATGTATCATATATCATAAAGTCCACTCAGTACAATACTTTTAAGCATCACGTAGTATTGCCGTACCAAGCAACTCATTTATATTATTATAAAAATAAAATTTATTTAAATTGGGACGTTATTAATTATTACGTACTGACAAAGCGGCAATGCAATCCCAAAATCCAATAATTTTGTAAATTTTTTTTTTTTAAATTTTTGTAATATCCAGGTATAACATATTCAACTCTAACTTTTCACATTCACTTAAAACTCAACTAACTCAAGACAAGAACAATTAGAAAATGGCTTGTTCATTCCCTTCAAATTAGCTTCGAACTTATATTGTATAGGTACATGCCCTACTTTACTATCTCATTCTAACGTGTACATATATTACTTTATAATGAAACCGACCTTTATACCGTTTGTCAGCTGCAATTTGTTTGGACACGTGTTGAACTTGTAAAATTAGTTTAACTCTTTCTATAGGAGCCACAGCTGTTTTGGAAACTGCCGCCGATATTCCGCCAGCGATGAAATCCTTCATGAACGCTCCAGAATCATGCGCTTTGTCTTCTTTTCCTTTTTTTTTATCCTTGTCAGACATTTTGATTTATACTAGCCCTTGAGGATGATCTTATGGAATCATAATTCTGGAGAAAACAAACGTAATGATTTTCGTCTATGTATAATGTTTTATTGTTACAATAATTACCTTTTGTAACTACGAAGGTATTGGGGGAAGGGACTGTTAGTAATGTGGACTACCAGTCCCATTGCTAGCAGGTCGGCCTCCACGTGATCATCCCTGGAAACCATCATGCTGAATTCCAGATGTTTTCATCACGATGGGCTATCTGACCTGCTTTTTCGATGTCACTTAAAATTCTTTACTGGTTTTCCACCAGTGTATAGCACAGGCGAGACTACCACTCTATTATCATATATTATTACTACTAAAGCATTTGTTTAAAATAAGCACTTACCGAACATCTATCCAAGGCAATAGATCTTTTCCGTGATAGGGAACAGCATCTTATACACTAATGTATTTTTCCAGTAAAAATTTACAATAATGTCACTCTTATTAACAAAAATACCGTAAGTATTCCGCAATATTTTCTACGTATCACTTTGACTTTTGGCAGATATTACAAAAGACGTACGTTTCAAAGGTATTTGAATTTAGAAGAAATTAAGAAGTATGTATAACGCCGATGTCGTTTACATTGTAACAATAACGACTCTGTTGATTAAAAATAATTGTTTTGTTGGAAATGTAAGAATGTAAATGTTCTTAAAAAAACCTGTCAAGTGCGAGTTGAACTCATACGCCGAGGGTTGCGTAAATATGACAAAATGCATTATTATAAATCTCATACGAAATAAACACCTAATAGTAGGTAATTATTACAATCTATAATTTAAAATAAAATGAAATTTATTATAAATATTACATATTAATTTCTTATTTCGACCCATAATTGCGGTTAAATCAAATCAAATTAAATTAAACCTCTCATAACAATGTTATAGGTCCATAACATTGTTATAAATGGATTTTGATAATTTCTCAAAAGTATTGGTAGTTATAAACATCGTTTTAATTTTCCTGTATTATTCACATATACTATTAAAAACTGTAATAACATGTACCACCTCTTCGATACTAAAATTCAGTCATTGAATTCTCCAGTGTAGTACTGAGAGGATTCAGAAATAGGCAAAACCATAATGGACTCAAACAATCGCCCTGGAATATTGCCCTCTAAATCTCAATCCGGTCAGCAACATCCATCAATTGCTCGCTAAATAGTAAGGAGTCCGCAGACCCATATATGCCTCCAAGAACACTCGAACCGTATCATTTATCTTATATATTTCGAATATACTCCAGAACCATGAATAGGGTACGGAGTTGAACGTCTTTTTTATAATCTAAAAACCCCATTGTTACCAGAGGGAGACTTCAAAAGTTGTTTGCTTGGGTACCTCTGTCTTGAAGCAGTTGTTTTCATGGCTATATTTCGGTTTAAAGGATGGGATATGGCCAGTGAATTTACAGGGTACAGAGGAATAACTCTTGAGTCCTTAGGAATGGCAACGCATGGGAGGTATAATAGGCGAAATAGTATATTCTGTTATGTTCATAATACTGCTCATGTCTATAGGCGACGGTTACCACTTTCCATCAGGTGGGTCGTCAGCTTGTTTGCCATTCTAAGTTGCATAAAAAAAATACCCTTTCAGGTCGACACACCCCACATGGTTCCCCCTGGAAATTATCGTGGTTAATTAATTCTTGTCGAATATATCACGATGGGCCAACTGATCTGCTTTCATCCTCACCAAGCAACTCCCACTTGTGTCTCCCGAGGTATCGGGGTCAACCTGTAGCGTAGGCAGAGATACCATTCCATATTTACCTATTAAAAAAAGCAGTAAATACTTACTGTACTTAGTACTTAGATAGGGCGACAAGAATACAACATTTTGTTCCCTTATGAAATTTGTAAAACTATAAGTTTGTATACATGACATGAATAATTTAAAAGGTTATTCATAAAATATTTATGAAAATAAAACATAACAGTTTTAGTTATAGATGGTTTAATTGAGAAAGAAAAAAAAAAACCTAACACAAATGTGTTCATAGGTAGGTAACAATTCGTGTAATGATCTATTTATTACTAATACAAAAACAATATGATGTTAAATCAAAAGCGAGTTTAATATTAATATTAAATGCAATAATACTATAGACAGCAAATAAATCAGTGTAATAACATTTCTCCACTACTAATACATTCCTTCTTCCCAATTTAAAAATACCTCTTGCTTAATACCGTACCGTTGTTCTTCGATTGTTACTTCTTTATATAATTTTAATAAGACATTAAAATAGGGCACGGGCGCTCTTGTAATTAACAATAGTACGGCACGATATTACATGATTTTATCGTCACGATATAATAGGAGAACAAAATGTACATTGCAAATTGTATGGGAATAGTTTTATTTTACTTAACCTTGCCTTTTGATTACTACACTACTACGCCTGCATCTATCGACTCCCTGCAATTTATTTGAGGTCGTCACTCCATCTATTTCGTTAAATTGTAAAGACCATTGCTATCAATTAATAGAGGTAGTCCACACTTGTGACAACTTCAAACATAAAACTCCTGTTTGTAACGTTACAATTTTTTTTTTTTTTTAGCATGAAACTTATTACATATGATCATTGCTTTAACTAGACAATTGTAATAAAATAAAAATACAAAATTAAACAGAACTACGCGACTTTGCAAATTTTCTTATATTTAATAATTTATGACGATAAACGAGAACTGAACTGAGATTAGGAAATAGTAAGAGCTTGTTACATCAAACAGGATAAGGTATTTAAATAACAATTAATAATAATACTAAAAGACGTCTAAATATTTTCAATATCGATTACCATACCATACCAACCATTTTGATATATAGATAAATTATAGAGTTACTAATAAATTATAGTTGTGTGCTATTGGATACAAATAAAGTAATAGAAATATTAAACCTATTAGGTGTAAAACCATTCTGTTACCAGCTAATAGAGCTTCACTCTTGGTAATTTGATGGTTATCTCAGTGAAAGGACAGTTAGATAAAACAAAATATTGACTGTAATTTTATCATTATAGGTACGTACTTGTATCTAGAAACTAACTTCTATATTAAGTTATAATTGCATAGTAATATTATATTGAATTTTCATAATTTATTTCCTTACACATATAGGTTAGAACTACTTACTACTATTTCTTTTTGTTGTACACGAATATGTGAGAATTTTTTAAACTGTCAACAAAATTAAGCATTAAATTTGCAAGGAGAGTATTACATATGCAATATTAATGCACAATATAAATATACATATACATATATATATACGTTTCGAACGTATTTTCTTACATAACAAAATTTTGAATCACTGAATATTATCCAATAAATATCACCTGTGGTCAAGCATCTATTTCAATTATCAATTTCTTTGCCAACTACAACAACACTATCTAATATATGCTTATATACTTTTTAAGGCTTCAGCGTTGATCGTAAACAAATTTTCTTCTCAAAACATTTTATTAGAATATAAAAAAAAAAAAACAATACATTCTGCAGAGTCTAACTAAACTAAACTAAACCAACCCAGAATTAGTTTTATTATTACCCTCCCGCGCGAGGCGCATATTTTTGACTTTTACCAATATGTGCAATGTTTCTGTTTTTCTATATTTTACCATATTAGGTAGTTTATAAGAGTAATTGTTACTAACATCCTATGGACAATTATACTGTCTAAAAATACTATTAATGTATAGTATAAGTATGTTGGTTCTAGTATTGATATTCTAAAGGTAGCAAGAAAGGATATCATGCATATTAAAAGGCTAAAAAATTTAAGCGTGAAATTTTCGTGGCTTATTATTATTATTTTACATAATTAGAACATTATTTCAACATAGAGTCAAAATAACAATTGATGTCATAATTGCGTGCAGATAAGAAATTATTATTTGCATCTAATCTTTTATTATTCATATGACAATTTGAACAAAACATCGAAATAAATTTGTTATAAGCTCACTACTATAGAATAGTAGGTATGTGAAATAATATCTAATGTAAAATCGTAATAATAGAAAACGACAAACATTCTTAAGTAAGGTGACGTTTAAATATAGACAAATAACTTTAGAAACGACAAAATCCAATTGATCTATATATTGTTATATCTAAATAACAAGGCGTCTATAACTTTATCTCGAGTAGGCAACATAAGGAATTATAATCCTAATGTAATTGTTGATCACAACTGTACTATCGACTATCTCCGTTGACGCCTCACACATTAACAGTGAATGACGTGAATTGTAACAAACATAAAAATAATAACTAAAATGTAGAATATAATTTAACATCTTATAAAATTACAAATATTACTGCATCCGCAAAATGCTGTTTTAAAAGTACCCCACACCAATTTTTTAACATATTTTTATTTAATTTTTAATACGTAGATTTAAATCTCATTACATAATTGTAATGGCCGTGTGATCCCGGCATAGAATAGGCCATCTCCTCTCGTGGGTGTCGTAAGAGGTGACTAAGGGAGGACGGGGGATGGGCAGCAGCGTCCCTCTTAAAACATCTCCAGTCTAATTGCGGTTGCCAATCCGACTGTTAAGCATGGCAACTACTGGAACCCCCCCCCACTAAGGGGGAGACTTGTGGACAAGGCTGACATGATGATGATGATGATGACATAATTGTTAATTATAATAATTATACACATTTGTTTATAATTATAATAATTATAAACAAATGTGCATTGAGAAATGAGTCGCACCAATATGCCTCAACGCTTACCTAATGCGTTTTTTTTTTTTTATTTGTTTATACACAATTCTATTACACACATATGTATATACATCATAGTTAATTCCAATGTAATATAGTTATTTATAGCATACACAAATTTTTCTTACCTAAAATAGAAATCAATTTATACACTCACCTACATTTAAAGGGAAAGGTGTACATAGATAAATTATTATCTACTAATAATTTCATTGAAATATCTAGCCCACAAATACCCAACATTTTATGGACTACTGCCTCATTTAGAGGAATAATATAAGATTACTTGCTGACTCAGTAAACGTTGTTTTACTGTATACATTATTTCTAAAACTTTACATGAAAATATATCGTACTACAATTATCATATTCAATTGTCATCTTGCGGCATATAGAAATCACGATTTAACAGCAGGGGTTAATCGTAAAAGCGTGAAAATTTGTATATTCAATGCTAAATCATAATAAAATAAAAAAAATTGACAAAAAATTAAAAAAAAACATATTTAGGGGTGGGTGGTTCACCCCTATCATTGAGGGGTACGAAAAATAGATGTTGGCCTATTCTCAGTACGCACACGATCTCAGTCTCGATATGCACACCAAATTTCATAAAAATCGGTAAAGCCGTTTCGGAGGAGTTTGGTAACAAACACCGCGACACGAGAATTTTATATATTAGATGTTCTAAAATTACCGATTTCAATTGTGGCAAAACCAGTTCATTTGATTTAAAAACTAAACCACTAAACCGAATTTGATAAAATTCTATGGGACAATCTGCAAATATATCCTTTTAGACAAATGAATTATCCAAATCGGTTTATAACTGACAAAGTTATGAGATAACGCTGCTGCACATAAGCCTTTCCCTACTGAAAGGCTTTGCCAATAGTTGCCATGCTGATTATGTGACGCTGAGTGGTCGATTGGCCACCGCCTGTTAGGCTTTGATGCTCTTTTAAGAGGGACGCTGCTACTCATCCCTCGAACGTTATGTTCCCTTAGTCGCCTCTTATTACACCCACGGGAGAGGAAGAGAAAATTGAACACTGGAAATCTGGAATTCCATGACGTATGGTAGGACAGTGGTTTTTTTTTTAAATAGTTATAAAATTCGAATGATAAGGCATAAATTTCTATAACTGCAGTAGATTCAGATGTATTTGAACATAAAAAAAAAATTACAATTGTTAACTTTGGACAAGCACAGCCCATACCTAAACTCAAACCTAGTTCTACGTTTAAAAATTTATGAGTGCACGAAATTTCTTTTCAACTTAGAAGATTATGTACGTCATAATCTTCTAAGTTGAAAAGAAATTTGTCAGAATTAAACGGTGTTGTCAAAAAGATTTTGTATTCAAGTTTTTAATTAATACAAAAATTTTTTATGTATTTAAAAACACACCTATCTTGAATCTAACTAACTGATTGGCTAAAATTAAGTTATAATAGTACGTAAGAATCTCGCCTTGCGCATCTTACATCTCGAGAACATTATATATATGTTATATATAACCTATATTAATTAATAATAAAGATATAAAATTATAGTAATCTCAACTCTCTACATAAGTGACAAACAAATATTTCAGTGTAAGCCACCTTAAACATGAGAAAGAACGAGATAGCGAATACTACCATCTCGTTATACCTCATGAATGCGGTATCGAAAACATATATATAGTTATATCACTCACCTAAAGAAACAAATAGACGTATACAATAAGCACCTAATAAAACTAGAGATCTGTAATTAATTAATAATAGCGCCAATCTATTATAAAATACTAATATTAAATATAAATTATAATTAATTAATTGTAAATACTAAGTCTATTAAGTTGTTAATTTATTTTTCTAAAATTTAATTCGAATCTAATTTATTAAATTGAAACACAGTGTAAACTGTTCTGAGATGAATTGATTTAAAATATTAATATATATTTTTCACAATTTTGACACTATTAAAAAATGCAAGCATCATTGTAATTATTTATTGTACGGTTTGGCATCTGAAATTATATTTTTATATTAAAGTTTATACGATTTGTCTACAAAATTATTTATTATATAATAGTTCAACTATCAATTTATGAAAATAATAAGAAAGTAAATTATTGTTGTTATATTTAGTTATTAACATTTATTTAGATCAAATCCATACTTTAGTGTTGTAAAGTGGTTAGACATTGTTTAGTAAGTAATATGATATTTTAATTGGAAGGGTATGTTTTTTGCAGAGGTTTCCCACAATACTGCTCCGTTTGTACGAGTCAACTATATAGCGTGAGCTGTTTTTATTACAAAATATCAAATTATTAAAATTGCAATAAACAGAAATGTATTAACGACAAACACATACAATAAGAAAACAATATTTACATATTGTTTATACTGCATTTTGATAATTACATTATTAATCAATTTAAAAAAAATATATTATTTTCATCATAATTAATACCAAAGGCCTTAAGGCGTATAACATAGAAATTACTTATGTATAGCAAAAATTTACAATTAAATTTCAGCAACAATGTTATTGTAAATTGTGTAAGTGTATTTTTAAATATATTTGAGAGATAAATATGTAAAATTATTTTTATGAAAATTAAACGTCTATAAACCCCCTTAATTATCGAGTAAATTTTAAACAGCGTTTTGCAAGAGCATTTAATTAAAGCAATCTCTATTAAAACTAAAATAAGGACAAAAATTCTAATAAAAAAAAAATAAACTTGAAAAAACTTTTTATTCATAAGATATATATAAAAAAAAGAACATTATTAATGAACATAAGAACAACTGAATCCAATCCAAGTTATCTATTTATGTATTTTTATACATTTATTATTGTATTTGTGTAGGCGTCTAGCACCGAGATAGTCGTTTATAATAGACTAATATCAGTTAAGCATTTCACTATTTCCGTATTTTAGACGCACTGTCTGCGTTATCCTTTAAAATCTTGGATTTAAGATGATCTTTATACTTCAAAATGCCACCCTCCCATTTTGTGACTGTTCCGTTTTCGCATATCCAAATTTCTTCTGCGACCTGTGTGTAAATTATAATTTATTTAGATAAGCAACAAATTGAGAAAGTACATGACATGTCACCATTTGTTTTAATCAAAGCGTGGCATTTAACCTAAAAAATTTCCATGGAAACTGCAATCAGTGTCTACGGTGAAAATTACACATCAAACATAAGAATAAACATTAATAATAATATAATGTTTATACAAAAATATTAGGAAACATACTTATAGAAATTTCATATAAATCTATATAAATTATGTTCATTGGTAAATGAGTCACTTGATAATAACTAGACTGATTGGCTAAATTTCTTTTACAAAATACTCCTAATATCCACTAAAGGTGTAAGTAAAGCCCCGTTTAAGAGAGAAAATTGTTTCCAAGCTATTGACGCCAGTGCAAAAAAGGCCACATATTCCTTTAAATATATACATTATATCAGTCAATCCTAATACCAAAAATTAAAAAATTACAAAAACAGTATAGGGAACAGTAGAGTAAGAACCAAAAAATAAGGTTGCATATAAATGTGGTCAAAACAATAACTGTCCAGTCAACTAGTACACAGTATTATTGATTAGTACATAAACTTACCTGATTAATTAGTCTAAAGTCGTGACTAACAAGCACCATGCCGCCTTCAAATTCGTTGATGGCGTCCGCGAGGGCATCGATTGTCTCCATATCCAAGTGGTTAGTCGGTTCGTCCAAGAGCAGCAGATGTGGGGTTTGCCAGGCCAGCCACGCAAACACAACTCTGCAACGCTGCCCGTCCGACAGCTGTCGCATTGGGCACACCTACGAGCGGATAATAAATACATTAGGTTGACTGGTAAAGTACGTTATTTAGCATTAAAACTACCTTTTATACCAAATATTTTAAAGTAGACAATAAAGCTATAAACATTTTAACAAAATACACATAGATCAAATAATACAGAAAATGTTGTGCTTCCCATATTAATACAAAGCGGTCTGCTATATTCGCTTATCCATCCATCTCGTCAAATTACCAGATAAATTTTTGTATATATATATATATATGTATATATATATATTGTATATATATATATTGTATATATATATATTGTATATATATAATATGTAGTATAGGAGACTTAATATTTGATACCCTTTTTCGATCCATGTTTCTTTAGGAAAAATGTTCAGTTACTCTAGTCAAACGGCCCCTTAAAAGGGTACTCATTCTTTTTTTTTATCCGAGCATTACTAGAATACATATCCTATTCTGTTCTATTCTATCCTATATAACCCCTTTTTCTAGCTACAACAAGCTTACACTTATATATATGTATGTTTACCTGCTGCCTGCCAGTAAGCCCGTATCTGCCTATTATCTTCCTCATTTCCTCACGTTCGCGGACCTCCGGGAACTCTTTCATCATATATTCCAGAGGTGACAAGTCAAGATCAAGTAGCTCATGAAGATGCTGGTGGTACCGTCCGATGCGCAGATGCGAGTTTTTACGGATCATGCCCGTTGATGGTACCAACTGGAAAAAAGATATTTTTTATGATATTTAGAAGTACAAACTGACGGCAGTCTATCTGATGGAAAGTGGTTATCTTCACCTATAGCACACAAACAGTAACGTCCACTGTACTCGTTATGCATTACCATTCCTGGAATGACAATGTTATGCCTCCACATCCTCTAAATTCACCACCTTATACCACCATCCAAACCAAAATACAGCCATGTAAGCCACTTCATAGCAAAAACACGATTGGAGCAAAGATACGCAAGCATATGACTTTTGTACATTATTTTTATAAATTATTTTACCGGGTTACCGAAGAATAACGTTATTCAAGTGTATATAAATTAATAGAAGTCCCCTCTATACGGAATAACAATTAGACAGTCATCTTTATTAACATTGTAAATGTATAAGTGAGTTTTTATCCCAGTTACTGAATGACGTCGCAGGAAAAGGACAAACATCATTCCAGTCAAAAGTTAACATTATTTTGTCATTTATGCACCTCAACTTTTCACCCTATCACCCATAGAAATGAAAACAATGATAGTGAATACTTACATCGCCATATAATAATTTCAGTAGAGTAGATTTCCCAGCTCCGTTGGGGCCAACAAGCGCTAGTCGTGTGTCGAGGTCGATACCAAACTCGAGGTTCTTATAAATCCATGGACCATTGTCAGCATACCTGAACGATACATTCTGTAACAAACAATAATTACATAGTGTAAATTAGACGGGAAAAGTTATATTAATAGTTGTATTATTGGTCTGTACATTTAATATGATAAATAGGGGGGAAAGGGATTGTTAGTAATGGAGACTGAGAATCCCATTGCTAGCAATATACCCAACCAGGTTGACCTCCTCGCGGTTCTCCCTGGAAACTATCATGGTTAATTCCTGATGAATTCATCATGATGGGCTAACTGGCCTGTTTTCATTCTCATCTATCACCCTTTACTGGTGCTCTGCCAGCGTATCCCGTTAGCGCAGGCGGGGGTCACAATGCCATTTTCACTCATCAAAAAAAATTATAAATAAATAGAATTTGTAATATAGTTTAATGAAATCCAACCACTGCACCTAATCTCATAATAACATAGTGTATTTATATAGACTGTTTCAATTTGAAAGATGATATGACAATGAAGTGAGTAGGATCCTGATGTCAGAAGTAAAGGTAACATGCTAGTAGAGTTACTAATATAACCATTTTTTGGTACTGGTAAAACAAATCATAAGACAAATATACTTTTTTTATACTTAGCTGTTTGTATGATCATTACTCGATTACATTTGAACAGCAAATGAATTTTAGATACATGAATAGGTTTAACACATTAGTAAATGATTTTTTATTTTGCATATTATTTATATAATAATGATACTTTATATACTGATTCACATGGACAAAACTACAAGAAATAAATTGCCTCGCACATACCTGAACCATAATCACAGGTGGAGGAACTTTCCCACAAGAGGGGAAGTAAAAGTTGAGTGTCTTGTCGTCGACCACTTTTTCCGTGAGGCCCTGGGCGATCATTTTGGCCAAAGTCTTCTCTTTGGACTGTGCCTGACGAGCCAGCTTAGCAGAACCGTGTCCAAACCGAGCTATGTAATTCTGAAACACAATTATAATTTAAATACTACTGCCACCAATAGTCCCTGGGGGGAGGGGTAAGAATTCTTAGTAATAGGGTCTAACTAACCCATTGCCATCAATACGGGCGTATTGATGGCAATGGGTATCAGGTCGATCTTCGCGCGGTTCCCCCTGGAAACCATAGTAGTTTCTGTTTTTTTTTTTTATTGGGATAAAAATGACCATATCTTTAAGTTGGAGCTAAATACCTTTACAAAATTTCATTAAAATTTATTGAGTGGTTTTGGTGATCAGCGGGGATCAGTCAAATCATGACACATTTTTTATATATTAAGATTTACAAAAAAAGAATAATCAGACAAACCAAGTTTCTCTTTTATAACATTGCCATGATATTATCAACACCATATCAACCTTTAATTGTCCACTGATGAACATAAACCACCTCCTTGAAGGAAGGTTGTTGCCAGTAGTTGCCTCACTTAGCAGGGGGATTGGCAACCATTTTAAGAAGAATACTGCTGCCCATCCCTTGACCATTTAGTTCCCTTAGTCGCTTCTTACGACACACACAGGAAAGGTAACCACTTCCGTTTGGCGTATTGAGATGAAACATATACCAAATTTTTAATTTGACACAACTATTTTAACTGCTTTTAATTTGGTATGATACCTATCATATGATGCAGAAAGAAAAATACAGATAGATAATCACAATTCTAAAAATTATTCTGGCTTCTATTGCCTTCTATCTTATCCATCCTCTGCCTCAAATATTTTTTTTTAAATATTTCCTAGCTTTAACCCGAGACTTCGTATGTATTTACAAGATATCCTCATTAACCAAGAGAAAAAGAGGCCTATATCCTTCTCCATCTCATATAGAATGTGTATACAAAATATTACAGTAATTGGTTACGCCACTGAGGCACTATGAGTAACAAGCAAAAGGATATTGTTTAATAACAATTTTATTATATTTGTAAGATCATCGATACCTTCATGTGAGCGATTTGATCTTGCTCCCAGTTGTATTGCTTCATCTGGTTCTCGAGTAGTTCCATGCGCGTGCGCACGAACGCCTCGTAGTTACCAGTGTAATACTTGAGCCGCCTCTTGCTCATGTGTACTATGTTTGTGCACACACCATTCAGGAAATCTTGCGAGTGCGATATCAACACCAGTATACGTTTGTAGCTGCAAAATTAAAAAAAAAAAAGTTATTTCAATTGTTGTGTTAAGTAGACAACTTCTACAACTAATATAAAAGCAAAAGTTTGCGATTGCACTGAACGGATTTTAATGTAATTTGGTACATGTATAGATTATATTCTAACTTAAAATATAGTATACTTAATATACTGATTCAGCATGCGAAACCGCAGGATTCAACTAGTAAATAATAAACAAGAAAATAAATAATAAAAAAGTCACTGCCCTCTCAAAATTTATAGCCAATGTCCTTGGAGATGATGTAAGGTTTCTAGCAGTACCCTGTACATCCCAAACCCGTTCAAGTACTTAGAAGTTATGGAATAAAGACAATCACATACACACATGAACCTTGAAAACCCTACACTCCTAAATAAGCAGTTGTGTAATAAATATATTACTAATAGATATTACAAAGTGTCATCTAGTCTCAAACTAAACAGAGCTTATACTACTTTTTTTGTGAATTTAAAATAAAAATACAAAAATACAGACTAATACAAACAAAGTCATGAATAAAAATATTTGTATTGTACGAGGACTGAACCCGAGATCAATGGAATTAAACTCATATTGGTGATGGACCAATATGAGATGATCACAGTATATTATTATATTCTGTGACAAGATCAATCAACCCCTAATTGTAATATGACATAGATTCATAACACCAGCTATAGTAGTTTCTTTTCAACCGACCTTAAAAAGAAAGAGGCCTAAGAGGCTTAAGCCTTTTAAAAAAGTCTGTCAAATGCGTTAGTTATTTATGCAATGTATATAAACTTTTATATTTTTTTTATACAACTTAGAATGACAAACAAGCTGACGGTCCACCTGATGGAAAGCGGTAAGCATCGCCTATAGACATGAGCAGTACCATAACAGACATAACAGAGTATACTGTTTCACCCATGATACCCCCCATGCGTTGCTATTCCTGAGGACTCAGGTGTTATTCCTCTGTACCCAGTAAATTCACACCATATCCCACCCTTCAAACCGAAACAATATTCTACACAATTATGTATATTTCTGGATGTAACCTAAATGAAGCATAATAATTGATATCTAGCGTGTGCCACCTATCTTTTCTTTGTTTGTAACTATTACCTATCAGATTTAAGAACAGTTTTAGCTATAATGTTGCCTATTGTAATACACATTATTTTAATATGTATTATATTTTTTTTATATTTAATGAGCAAAAGAGTATTAATTATTATATACTAACTGTTTTAACTCCTCTTCAAGCCATACACAGGCATCCAAATCGAGATGGTTGGTTGGCTCATCGAGCAGCAGCAGGTGAGGTTTCACATACAGCGCGCGGGCCAGAGCGATGCGCATGCGCCATCCTGCCAAAACGTAAATAGATCAGTACCACTCTATCACAACAATCATCTACTCTTCAAGCCAGGAGCTAGCTAGCCAGAGTTATGAGGAATCAAGCAACAAACACCTGTGTACACAATCCAGAATACCCAGGGTAAAGGATTGCTAGAAATAAGGATCTAACATCTCCATTGCTAGCAATTCCTATCAGGTCGACCTCCACGTGATTTCGCCTGACAACCATCGTGGTTAATTTTTGTGAACTTCGTCACGATGGACTATCACTTGTTTTCATCTTTACGTATCATCCTTCATTGGTGCCCCACCAACGTAAACCGATAGCGTAATCGGGGTTATCATTCCATTATTATCCATTAAAAAAAATCCAAAGCAATTCAAAAAACTTCAATTCTTACTTTGTCCCGACCAAGACACGAAGCTGGAACATCAACTACACAAAGCCATCCATACATACCCATCACTACGCTACAGAGGACATTAAACGTACACTAACCTCCAGAGAAGTCCTTGGTGGCCTTCTGCTGCATATCCTTAGTGAATCCGAGACCGTGCAGGATGTTGGCGGCGCGCGCCTCCGCTGTATCAGCGCTCAGCTCCTCCAGACGATCGTACACGTCCATCAATTGCTCTTGGGACTCTAGAATGCAATTATATATTTTTTTTATACAACTTAGAATGGCAAACAAGCTGATGGTCCACCTGATGGAAAGTGGTAACCGTCGCCTATAGACATGAGCAGTACCATGGACATAGCAAAGTGTACTGTTTCGTCCATGATACCCCCCATGCGTTGCCATTTCTGAGGACTCAGGTGTTATTCCTCTGTACCCAGTAAATTCACGCCATATCCCACCCTTAAAACCGAAACACAGCCATGCAAACACAGCTGCTTTCCGGTTGAAACACGAATTGGACAGAGGTACCCAAACAATCGACTTTTGTACAAAGTCTCCCTCTGGTTGAATTACATACAATCAATATCCTGATTTCCCAAGTCGTTTTAATAGAATTTAATGAAAAATTAAGTACGTTGTGTTGTAATTTTAACAGAAGCAATAAATCAATTATTCGATTTTTTATTCAGGTCAACTATTCATTTGTATATATACAAATACTAAATCAGACATACATTCCTTTCATACTGAAACATGTTCTTCATACTACATGGTTTCTTACTGTATTGGTTTCAGCTAAGAAGAAATATACGAGGTCTGTCCGGAAAGTTCGTATAAAAGTGTTCTGGAATGCGAGAAAGAGGAGTGGGGAGGCCAGGTAAGCGCAGGACCCCTTCCTTATGTCCCTAACAATGCTTCAGTTCTGGTCTGACCGCCGTGCGGTGCGAACTGGCTTGTCACGCCATCTGTGAAGTTACCTCTTAACGAAACCCCGTCGGCATGGAGCCCGCTTCCGTTGAAGAGCAGCGCGTCGTAATCAAGTTTCTCTCGAAACTCGGCAAGAATGGCCGTGAAATTTTTGCCGATCTCAGAACAGTTTATGGGGATGATGCTGTGAAGGAACCAACCGTCCACAAGTGGCTAAAAAGATTCAGAGAGGGCCGAGAAAGCGTTCAAGATGACCCACGTTCAGGACGTCCTTCCACTTCACATTCCGACGAAAACGTGGAAAGAATTCGAACTTGTGTTAATGGGGACCGTCGTTTAACGGTCAGACAGGTGGCTGAAGAGCTTAATTTGGGCAAAACCGTGGTCCACGAAATTCTAAGAAACGAACTTCAAATGAAAAAAATTTGCGCCAAGATCGTTCCGTGAGTTTTTGAGTAAAAATTCCATTACGGTGACCGAACACCCCCCTATTCGCCGGATTTGGCCCCGTGTGACTTCTTCTTGTTCCCAAAAACCAAATTGGTACTTCGGGGGCGGCATTTGGGGGACATAAATGAGATAAAAAAAGCTACGACGGGGCAGCTGAGAAACCTACAACCAGAGGACTTTCAAGGAGCCTTCTCACAGTGGAAACGGCGTTGGCACAAGTGCATTATGTCACAGGGGGAGTACTTTGAAGGGGATAAAATTGATTTACCTGAATAATTGTAAAATAAAATTTTTAAAAAACTTTTATACGTACTTTCCGGACAAACCTCGTATAATTCAGGAATAAGCCTAAGAGTTAAGATGAATTTTAAATTATTATTATTATTAATTAAAACATACCTACATCAGTTTTTAAATTAGACCTTTAAGAACACAACTATAAAGAACGCATCCAATTTGGTACAGCAGTTGTGCGATGCGAGAACAAACACACAGACAGACAGACAGACAGACAAGATTTCTATAAGTTTTGGCTTGTGTTGCTCTTGTTTAGACCCCTTATATCAATGTTTTTTTTTTTATATATCTTCCATGTCTGCACATAGTCTAGTTACATATTACGTGATTAGTAAGATAAGATTAAAGTAATGAAACGTATTTGTTATATTATAAGAATAATTACTATGTCAATAGCAATAGATATTTATGTTTATTTATCCTGTGAGATATATTTCTTAACACAATGTAACAATTAAACTAATACAATAGAAAATACAGTGTTGATAAATACGCACACTAATCCTTTTATTCGGGGGGGAAAGGGGATTTGTTAATAATGGGCACTGAGAATCCCATTGCTAGCAATATACCTAACCAGGTCGACCTCCTCGCGGTTTCCCCTGGAAACTATCATGATTAATTCCATATGAATTCATCATGATGGGCTAACAGGCCTGTTTTCATCCTCATCGATCACTCTTCACTGGTGCCCCGCCAGCGTATCCCGTTAGCGCAGGCGGGGTTACCATTCCATTTTCATCCAATAAAAAATAATCCTTTTATTCGCAAACATTAAAATCTCCTATAAAAGTAGATGTGGTTTTGTCACTTTTAAAATTAGAAATTAGTAAAAAGGACAAGGCAATAAATAGCTAAAATAAATAAATATATATATAAATATATAAGGGGATAGAAATATGGCTGCATATCGACTGTGAATTTTGGCTAATTATAAAAATTTATCAATTACAAATAACTTTATTTCAGAATCCGCATCGATCACCAGAACAAGTCATGAACTTACCGTCGTCATCGGACTGCGCCAGTTCCTCGGCCAACTTCTCCAGCTTGACCCTTTCCTCGTCGACCTCCATGACGCATTGCAGAGCGGTCTTATCGGAAGCCGGCATCTCACGAGTCAGATGGAAGATGTCGATATGTTCTGGTATGGGAACCTCGCGGCGACCCAACGCCGAGAGCAACGATGATTTGCCTGTGGGATATAAAATCTTTTAATTTTCCCTTGGTTTTTTTGTATTAGGATCAGTATACATTATGTAAGTTAGATTTATGTAAGTCTTTTTGACTCGTATAGTGAACTCCATCCCCTATAAATATTATCCCAATATTATCACGATTTGTGCTATATTAATTTATGCTGACAAATTATCCGTGAGAAATAATAGGTGAGATGAGAGGTCCATAGTCCTATAGGCCCAGAGTCCCACCCTCAGGTCACATGGAGATCAAAATATAAAAAGTATAAAATAAAATGTAAAACACGCAGTGGATTTTGTTACAGGTTTGATTGTTATTTCGATATCTTTATACATAAAATATGTATGTACAATATAAAAAAGCAATATAAAAAAATTGTAATATAATTAGTATTATTTCATTATTATTATGCCTATTTTTAGTATTAAGATCGTTCGTAACAAAGTATGACAACGTTACAATTATTTATCAATTTTCAAAAACCATTAAATAATTTTCAATGCAATGTATTCCATAATTAATGTTCGCTAGCAGTATTTTTTTTTAATAATCTACTATTAAGACTCCGTACCCTGTAATTTCATCGAGAAATAAATTGAATTAGTTTGAGACTTTTTTTTTTTAAAATTAGGTTTAATTAATCTCCGTCTTCTAAAGGGCAATAATGAATAGCCCTGAGAAATTGTTTAGACTTAAAAGATAGTATTGAAATTGCAATCAGTTTGACGATAACATAATCTTTAGTGCAACAAGGATCAAGCACTAATCTTAGACCTACATATCGCACGGCATTTTAGACTGCAAATAAAAAAAGCGAGCATTATACTCTTACTCGGATTAATTTGTTTTATTTTTCAACGCTCCCCATCGCCAAAAAGTTAATTTCTTAATATTATTTGTCACTAACGTATTACCAAATTCATTGGCAACATTTCATAAAATGAAACTAATTTAATTCAACATTAATGTTGCCAATCTTACACTATAAACGTGCTTGCAAAACGCAAACCTTTTAATAGCTTGTTATTTACAAATATAAAACTCTCAACATGGAATATTAGGTTTCAATTCACGTCCGTTTTTGAAATCGAATATTCGATGTTCCGAGTAATTTCGAAATATAAATTGAAATTATTCATTTGTTTAGCTGTAACAATGTAATCGACTCACAAATATAGTTTCGCATTTATACACTGTTTTCCCTTACTTAGCACATGTACCTTGTTTTTTTTTTCATTTAGCACAATAAACACTTATTAACTATCTATTTATGGAATCCAATAATATTAAAATAAAAAGGACGTATATAGTAACAGCTATGCATTAACATATAATCAAAAATCAATTAATACGAAATGCTTTTAAACTGTTTTATTAATTTGAACTGTTATTTCCATAAAGAAAATATGCCTAAATTATTAATAATTATACTAAGTACATAAAAATCACACCACAGCTAGCTCTACACCCCAAGACTGTTCATTACCATGATAGAACACCTTTGTATTTTTTTGTATCATAATCATCATCAGCGCTTACTATCCACTACTGAACACAAGCCTTCCCCTTGAATAATATTACCAGTACTGTCTATGCTTGGCGTGCAGGTTGGGGACCGCAGTTGGCCTTTGGTAATGTTTTTAAAGTATTAAGTTCCCTTAGTCGCCTCTTACAACATCTATGGGAAATAAAGAGATGGCCCATTATATGTCAGGACCGTACGGCATATGTATCATTTTTGTATACACCCTTATATGGTCAATTTTTATACCAAATTTCCTTACAATATATTGTTTAAGCACACATTTAAAAATATTTACAAACTTTCACATATATAAAAAGATGTAGCTGTGTTCTCGACTACATTCGCATGATGTGAATAAATCCACATAGCAATACTACGCGTAAGCTAAACATGATGAGCATTCGTTGAGCCATTAAAGCGCCAAATAGTAACAAAGTCATTCAAAATGTTTATAATATCAATCATGTGTGAGGATAATCATATTTCTACAGATGTGAAGGTGATAACAATATGCATGCATAATCAATAACTATGTTTATGCATTTATACTATAATGCCTATGCTTTACCAAAGGGAGACTGTAAGTCGGCTGCTTGAGTACCTTCGTGTTCGTGCCTTGAAGCAATTGTTTGCATAGCTTTGTTTTTGTTTGCAGAGTAGGATATGGAAATGAAATTACAGGATACAGAGTCATGACACCTTAGTCTATAAGCGACGGTTGCCAATTTCAATCACTTGGGCCGTCGACTTGTTTGCCAAAGTTGCATAAAAATAATTTTTAGTTATTTTTATAGGTCACATCGCGAAGTTGTATAGCTGCCTCAATAAATAAGCTATCAAAATGCATAAAGAATTTTTCAAATACGAGTGGTAGTTCTATAGATTAGTGCGTACAAACCAACTATTCCGCTCTATTATATTATAGTATTATATTTTAGATAAAAATATTTCCTACTGCTACCCCAGACGGGGTCACTTTAGACATAACCTTAAGCACGTGACCTGACCACTGTGCTACCATTGTGTTGAATGTAACATTCGACATAATCACTTTTCGCTCAGCGTATATAAGTAAAATCAATTTGGAATTTAAAAACTGTCGCTTATAAGTTTTTCAATTTATGTTACACGATATCCTCACCAATTGTGAACCGATTATGATTATTCTTTTTATATAATCCGCTCAAATGTACGTACGAATATACAGTACATGATTTATCCGATTGATATTATCTAAAAAAAGTAGAATTAACAACGCATTTTCCATTTCTATAAAGATAGGTGCCAATTTTCAAGTGGGATTCGCGGCTCGTCTGCCACTCCTAAAGAACAAAACTGTTTCTGTTCTGAGACCATTCCTAATGCATATGTAATACATAATATAGATTACAAATAAATAATAAACTTCGCTGTAGCATTATTTAAAACAGACATGCACTAGCAAAACAACCAAAATTCGCATTGTTTTAACATTGTTACCGCATTCGCAAAAATGAAAAACTTTTACCCGCAATGTTTTATTTAGAAATGTGAGGCATACGGCAATAAAATTACTGGGTACAGAGAAATAACATTTCAGGCCTCAAGAAAGAGAAAACAGCAGATAGACAGTCACCACAGAACTGTTCATAATGTGCCATACTTCATCAATTGGGTTACTAATTTCTATGTATTCCAAAAACTAAAAAAGCTTCTGGAATGATTGATTAATAAAGATGTATATTATACAAAATAATTACCTACTCCAATTTTAAAGCAATGAATTTTTATAATATAGTATAGTAATGTGTAGTTGCAGAGTAAACCATTCGAATCACATAAAATGTCAATATTTTAAATACAGAGATCTACTAGTATTATAAATGTGAAAGTTTGTAAAGATGTATTTGAAACTAGAATCGATTCTTAGGAGTCAAATCTAACCTCTAAACCTATCTTTAAAATTAAAATATCAGCAAAATCTTCTAAGAGCCAATATGAACTAAATTTCTAATAGATTTTCATAAAAAAAAAATAGTAGGTCAAAAATAAATTAATACATGTATAGGTAGAAGAAATGGCGTATTAGAATCGTCCTGACTATATTATATAGCCCACGCCCTATTTCAATTTCCTTTTAACTCCAAGATATATCATTAAATTCTATAGTTTAATAATAAAGTTTTAGTTTAATTCAGGTCTCGATATTCTTTTATCTTCAATTAATTGGGGATTTTTATCTACAGATATACCAATCTCGTTGCATCTAATCTGGTTTTCTACACTTACTGTAATGGTAAATAATTTTAATAATAGTTTAATGTTGTTAAATTATTTAACACAAATATGATACTAAAACAATTAGGAGGTAAATTTTATTGTTATTAATTAGAAAGGAAATACCCTTTTAAATAGGTATAAAGTTAATGACGTAATCGCGTATTCTGGGATTCTTTTTAGATATTATTTATAAAGAGATTTTTAATCTCATAAAAAGTTCTAAAACATTGTTCATTACGAAAAACTTAATTAAATAACTATGTAGCTATGAAATTTCAGATGAGCAACAAGCTTTTAGTACCTATAACTAATACGGCAGCTGGCAAAACGCCAAGGTTTTGAAATATCGGTTCGAAAAATCAGACTATCTATTATAATGAGGTGTTAAAACACTATTAATGTAATGTAATATACATAGTTTATAAAATTCATACAAGCTTTAAGAATATTATTTTCTCTTATTTATTTATTTATCTTATTATTATTTTATTTTATCTTATTATTTAAAACGCATTCTTGAGTAAAACCGGTTCAATGCTCAGTTACTATAATTTAATTTAAAACGAACGTGTCTAAATCTAATATTAGGTTTTATTTATACCCCATGTGTTGTGTCTCAATACATTTAGTATACAGTACCGCTCAAAAACATTTAGCCATCTAGTAAAATAAATTTTGTAAAAGTCTAAGTGAAACTACTTTATAATTATTTTAACATGTTTATTAACCATTTTTAATCATAAAAAGAATATAATTTTATGACAGCCTCACAAAACTTCGGCAATCTAGCTATAAATTTTTTCATATTGTCTTCAATTTTTTCAGTCTTCTGCCATTCTTCTTGCAGTTCCAACTAATCCCACAATGAGGTTTAATTCAGGGAACTGTGAAGGCCATACCATAAGATTCAACACCTGTTGTTGTTCTTTTCCTTTTAAAAAGTCCTTGCACAGTCTTGACGTGTGTTTCGGATCATTATCCTGTTAAAATATAATTCCCGGACCAATTAAATGGGTTCCACAAGCCACTGCACTATCCTCCAATATCTGTTTGTAACCTTCATGGTTTAAAACTCCTCGTATTTACACAAGATCTCCAACGGCGGAGCCACCAAAACAGACCAAACCATCACAGATCCTCCTCCGTGTTTAACTGAAGCCAGAGTACAAGCGTTAATCACCCTTTCGTTTGACTGCCGTCTTACAAAAACTCTTAATTTAGTTCCAAAAATTTCAAATTTGGATTCGCCCATCCAGAAGACCCTTTCCCAATCTGCTATTGTCTAATTCTTGCATTCTCTCTTGTCGCTTCTTTTCATTAATAGGTTTAAGAAGTAGTTTTGAGACCGCTATACATCCCTTGAGTCCTGTGTCACAATCTTCTTTTAACTGTGGATACACTGACTGGTTTATCACATTCCGCATTAAACTGTGCTGCTATTTCCGGTACATTTAATCGTCTATTTCCTTTTCTATTAATAACTATATTCATCTTCATTGGAAGTTGTAATTCTCGGTCTGCCTGAACGACGTTTGTTGCAAATTTTTCCTTCAGTCCCAAACTTCTTAACAATGCAGTCAACAGTTTGTCATGGTATCTTCATTACTCTTGAAATCTCACTATTACTTTTGCCGATTATTATGCCCCTGATCTTTTTTTTTTAAATATTTCTTAGATTTACCCATATTCTTCAAAAATGAAACGAATTTTGAAGTAAATAACAATAAAATATTGGTAGACTAAGTACTGAGCCATGGAGTACATGTTTTCTGGTTAAATGGCATCAAATAACTAACGTAAAAATATTTGTAGTTATTTTATATTCTAATTTTGTTTTCATTTAATTTCTCAATAACTAAATAAAATCAAAATTGCGACTTCAAAGAAATTCCGATAATAACACTATTATGGTTTAATGACCACGAGATGGCAAATAACAATAAGCTGTTTATGATTGTACTATAGATAAGTATTCTGTGATGTTATACAAACTATGAAACCTAATAAATGATCTCTTTAAAATGTAAACTTTGTAACTTATATAAAATACATGTGGCTAAATAGTTTTAAACGGTAGTGTATGTAGGTTCAACAATGTGGTTGATGAAGACAGTACAGCACTTGATCCTTTATTAAAATTAGAAACTTAAAATGGGGTATGGAAAGCTTTATTTGGAGTTTAAACAATGTCAACAAATTTGGAATCCTTAATCATTAAAATATTTAAAAAAATATTATATATTTAACAAACTAAAACAAAAATTAATCTATTTAAAAAGTGATAATATCTCTTAATTTATAAACCTGCAATATAATACTAAAATCATCATCTTTCGACCCCTTATTACATTATTGGTTTATGCTGAATGTTGTAATCACAATCAGATAATGATGATAAATTTAAAAGTGTTGAAAAGTATATTTAAATATATTGTACTCACCACAACCATTGAGCCCAACTAAACCATATCTTCGTCCACAATTCAACTCGAGTAGGGTATCTTGTAGCAGTTCACTACCATAGAATGTGATAGAGAAATTGGCTATTTTGATGTCCCTGGAACGAGGATGCACTGCTAAAGAGCCAGTACATGACCTTGCTTCCGAGTTCATCTTGGCTTCTTCTTCCAACTTGAGACATAATGCCTCTGTAACAAGATTATATTGTTATTTCACTATCAATATTTTTTCTATCTGTAAGAAAAGAAACATGTAAAAAAAGTAAATAATTAACAAAAATATACCTTTATCCTGTGTGTTATAAAGGTATATTTTTGTTACACACACATTTTACATCTATCATTTCAACAATATAATACTGTACTGAATGAGGAATATATATATATATATATATATATATATATATATATATATATATATATATATATATAGATTTATTGGTCTTCAATACTGCTTGTAAATGAACTGTAATGCGAGGCTTTACTTACAAAAGAATTTTAATACTTCCTATAAATAAAACCTATCTATCAATTTAAAAATTATTTCAAATTTATGTCATCAATATTTCACATTTTTAATACTAGGAATGCATGAAACTATGAGTTCTAAATAAGTATTTTTCTATCTTTTTATTAATAACAAATTTAAAATTAGTTGTTCCTGACTTCAACATCAAATAAAATGATGCAATAGACCTACATTCTTATTACAACAATGTCATGGCTCACTGGCCATGACAATACAGATTATGTCACAAGTTGACACAGAATTATTATGGAATAGTAATTATCTATTGCTGGTTTTATAAGACCTTGTATACAGCCCACTGAATAGTTGCCATGCTTATTATCTAATTGTTTTCACCACTTTAGCTTATTCCCTTCATTTATTTATTTATATTAATAAAGACCTATAAAACATTGTGAATTTACTAGGTACAGAGGATTAACACCTGAGTCCTCAAGAATGGCAACACATGGGGGGGTATCATGGGTGGAACAGTATACTCTGTTATGTCCATGGTACTGGTCATGTCTATAGACGACAGCTACCACTTTAAATCAGGTGGACCGTCAGCTTGTTTGCCATTCTAAGTAGTATAAAAAAAAACAAATTATTTCAGTATTTTGTCATAGTTATTAAATTTAGAACTAAACATAATAGACTATTATGAACATGATGAGAATAAATTTTTATTTACAACCAAATAAGAATCCCATATACCGATGGTCCCTTGATACAGGAAACTCCATGCAATATACACTATTTTTGATAACATGTATAATATATAATAATAAGAAGAGATATATGTTTCTTTAATTACACATATTACATCTCTGTAATTAAAAGTGATAGAATTTTCATCATGCCTCGGATCAAACTATTTATAATTACTAGTCTCTATACAATAGATGCCTGGAAGAAATTGCTTTTAAAAATAAGGCCACCCATAGTTTTCTGTGATCATTTCTTGTAATTGATTTGTATCTATAATAAATTTACTATTATAATCTTTTGGACGAAATAATAAAGAGATATATCTATTTTTGTACAAAAAAAACTTGTTTGATTGTTCAATTATTACCAAGAACAATTTTCATTATAGATGAATTTCCGTGCTATCTTTTAACAAAATTTTCATCATTAACTAGCACTCATATCTGTAGTACATCAAATATTTCAGCTTTTAGTTTTTCTGTTGTTAGGTCAAGGAATTTCTATGTAATATACTCATACAATCACGATTTGTATTGAGCATCTTAATAAATTGCTTTATCCTATCATTTTGCTGCTTAGAAAACTACATGCACTAGCAGCAAAATAAAAAAACAAAATTGATTGTTTGACAGTTGCTAAATCAGAGTAAATCTATTAATTGTGTTTATTTAATTCTATCGTCATGGTGATTTTTAGGCTCTTCAGGTAACTAAAAACCACTGTGATTCAATGAATCTCAAAGAACTTCTATTTTCACTTAAAACTTGTCACAAACTATCAACATAATATTGACTTCAATTCTAAAGTAGTCAATGTTTTTTACAAAACCTATCAATGACTTTTTTTTTATATTTTCTAAAAACATATTCATGACAAATAAAACAAAAACACATTGGAATGTTTAAACAATGTCACCTTAATGTAAACAACACAATAATTTTATCAAAACTGTTATAATGTTGTGTTAAATACAATTCTGACATAAAAAATTATATATATAAACGTCTAGTAGCTAGTGGTATTTAAATTTGTTGTATCAAAACGAAGAGAAAAACTATTGGAAATTTTTAAAAAGAAACATTTTGTACCTGTGTAATTTATATACACCTAATTCTCTTATACCTAAATTGAGTGGGTGTCTTAAGACACTTATTGAACTGTAATAATTTAATAAGTATAATGCTGATTCATCATTAACCTGATATATTTAGTTGAGGTTAAGTATTACCCCATACAGCTAGAACTCCTACATTTTAATTATTACTAAATCAATACAGTTACCTTCAGCAGTGAGTATTCGTTCTTCTTTTGTAGTGCCATTGGTTGTACCATTATGTTCTGAATTATTTACTCGAGGCACAGCCTTTTTGTTTCTGTTAGTAGCCAACTCTTTCTTTTTTTGCTGGGCCCTTCTTTTGGCGTCTGACGGCATTTTTACTACTTATCCTGTAAGAAAATATCACAAATCTAACAAATGTGTATGAATTTTTTATTGAAAACCTTCACTGCTTGCCGTTGGACACTTGCAAGTTTTATTTATACGTATTCCATGATTTCTTTTGTAGACATATTCTTTGCAAGTACATCTTTAATTATAGATTTTGTGTTTAAACATGTTTTTAAAGAAACTCACCTAATATTTTATTATAAAATGTAAGATAGTCGCGAGCGTCTGCACGTGCTGGTTTTGAAAGAGAGAAAATTTGATGACTTTTTTATGTAGGTATAATAAGGATGTGTTTTTTTTTATATTGGAGTTTTGGCTTGGAAGCAAGTCTTTTTGCCATTACATATTCATAATTTTATTGACACTCCTCTTGGTTAGACTTAATTTATATTAAGTAATAATCTATTTATTAGTTATAATTTTTGTATGCACTTTATTTGGAATATATTAATATATGAGTAAAAACTTTTCACAAGATATTAAATCTTTTATTTCCAGTGTTGCCAGATAAAATAGATCATAATTCACTAAAAATTGGAAACCAAGTCGCCCAATATTTTTCTGTAATAAAATGATAATGAATTGCAAATCTACATACTTTATAATTTATGGTTTTTACGAACCATATTGAGAGCAAACCGTGAGCGAATTGAAATCGTCATTATAGTGTGGTACTGAACTAAAAAAGTTATAGTTTAAGGTAGATAGTATTTCGATGTTTTCAATTTTGAAACACTAACTATCAGTTTCCGCCTCTATTTCATTCAATATAATCAAAAAGAGGAGAAAAAAGTCACAAAACTTATATGCTATTAAATGCGCAGATAAATTTAGTTACAAAACTTGATATCTTTTCTGTTCTACTACAAAAATTGTCAAAGTTGATGTATTGTTTTATGTTCATTATAGCCTAAAATAACCAATTTTTTTTTTCTAGATAGCACAAATCTGGTCGCCAATCATAACTTTTAGTTACTACAACTAACTTTGAATATAGCCTAAAAGGTAAAAATTACTTTTCTGGCAGCACTGATTATTTCCTACAGTTCACAGTCGTTGTTTAAAAGAGATAGAAAAAAATCCTTCAAATCTAAAATAAAATAAAATAAAAATTGTAAATCATATGATTTCCAGTTTTTATTTTACCATTCCTTCTATGTAATTCCTTGTTCTTAGCTTCAAATCAAATCAAAGACAACTTAAATTCTACAGTCTATAAATTTATTTTTTAATACTAAAAACATAGACGTAATTTATATATTAAGTACGAGATACAATGTTGTTATAAACAAACCAAGTCATAAACCTTACGATTTTCCCAAGTGCTGCTGTCATCGAAATTATAGTAGATAATTATAAGATATAAACAGATTAAATAGATAGAGTGTCTCCATCTAAGAACAAGAATAACATACAAGGAACGGTAAAATGATAACAGTATATCATATAGCCTCCTTTTTTCTTATGGTAATATAATTAGTAAAAACAGGACGAGAAATATACTATTTGTTACTTTTTCAATTTGTAGTCAAAGTTATATAACCAATAGAAAAGAAAGTGCACTTCATATAAGCTATGTAAAACGACTTGGTCAGGAATATATTACCAATCTACACAAAATCCTCCTGTTTTCGTTATATTGGCCAACCTGTATACAATATATATATAACTACTGAAAACAATATATATATTGTTTTGTAAAACTGTTCGTAGTAGGCACCTATTAGACTTTACTAACCTGACTAATAATTATTCAATTAAGCATTTGAATGATTTTCAAATCATTAATAAAAAAAAATTAGTAGCCGAACTACTAATTTTATTTATCCGACTACTAATTGCAGCCAACTACTAATGTCGTTCGACTACGAGTATCACGAACATAGCCGAGTAGACCCGATTGTTGGAATATGTAAATTTTTTAATGAATAAGAATGTTGCCAAATTAAATTTACTAACAATTACTAATTTTCGATAAAAGTAAGTACAGTTTTTATAGGAAATTGCGAGTGTTACAACGCGTATTACAAAACTTATATTTTAATAGTGGGGGGCGTTTTGTTTTTCGTCGTCATTTTTATTTAGATGATAATGTACTAGATGTAGTAGTAGTAATGGATAAAGACTGTAAAATTGAACTTAGTAGTAAACAGATTCGGAGAAAGGACGTTGTTGTAATTATAAAATTATTTGTTGAATTATAAAATTAGTAATTATTAATTATTCGAATAATAAAATCATTTGAATTCGCGCATCGTTAGCATTGATAGATTAAAAAAGATATTGAATGATACTGTCAATAAAGAGAATTTATCGATATTTATATTTGTCTATGGTAATAATAAAATCGATAAAAAATATTAATCGTATTGATAAAAATATCACAGTTAAATGAGTTGCAATAATAAAATCAAAATTAAAATTTTATATCACAATTGAGTAACGATGATTTTTTTTTGTGTATGTATATATTAAAAAATTAGTTGTTATTTTAATTTATATAATAAATTGATATATAATTATTAAAGCTACGTATGTAATTGTCCGTTACCTTTGTGTTTTGAATTTGTTACATTGATACAGTGAATTAGATGTCATTGACACTTATTAGCAATCCTATTATTTTAATTTGGATACTTGAGGCTTCTGATTAATTATTTTAAATGTGTAAATTTTTTCTATCGATTCATATACAAAGTATTTCTTGTAGTTTTAAATATTATATAATAAGTAAAACATGTGTTTTCTCTCTTATTAAATTATATTACTTATTATTTTACCAGACTGTACAAAAGTCGTTTAATTGGGCACCTCTGTCCTATTCGTGTTTCTAACGTGAAGCAATTCTGTTTGCATGGCTATGTTTCAGTTTTAAGGGTGGGATATGGTAGTGAATTTACAGGAATAGCAACGCATGGGACGTATCATAACAGTATACTCTGTTATGTCCATGCTACTGCTCATTTCTATAGACGACGGTTACCACTTTCCATCCGATGGGCCGTCAGGTTGTTTGCCATTCTAAATTAGATCTAATTATCAACTTAGCTCTTTTTTATTAGTATTCTATATACTTGCGCCTTAGATACTTTATACTTATATTGATTCATGCAAGCGAAGACGTAGGACACAGCTAATTTTAACAAAAAAGCTACCTAATTTAAATATTTTAGAATTGTCGAAGGAAATTTATTGACTACGTTCATTGCTAGGTAATTATGTATACAAATTCTTTTGTATCTTGAGAATTACAAACATGGATTGTCTATAGTTCATTATTCTCACTACTGAATTGCCTATAGTTTTTAGTCACTACTATCACTCTCTATGGGTTTAGGAACTCCATTGCTAGCTATATTCTATCAGGTCTCCACGGGGTTCCCCCTGGAAGCCATCATGGTTAATTCTTATGGAATTCGTCACGATGGGCTAACTGACCTGCCTTTTCATTCTCACCTATCATCCCTTACTGGTGCTCCGTCAGCGTATACCGTTAATGCAGGCGAGGTTACCACTCCATTATCATCCATATAAAAAAATATTACCACCCAATTAAAACTGACGCGAAAAGGACAGAAATATTTATAATATGCAAATGAAAGAAATACAAAATGGAATAACTTTTATTTAAATACCAACAGACAATATTGTGTGTTATAATGAGTACGTACCTGGTACTCCAATAAAATAAATCTCTGCATTAGCATGCATGGATTTATAAAACATTATTGATAATAATTAGTACTACAATATAAATGAAAAACGATAAAATAAAACATCATGTGAGTATAGTCACAGACATAGATTGAAATAGATGCCATAACCTGATTATATACATAGATAGAGCATCGAGCCTCAAAAAACGGGTCAATTTTTTATCAGTTAATTGTCAATTAGCTGACTCTTTTTTTATTTATTTAATTTAATTATAAAGGAAACATAACTATTTATCATGCAAAATTGTATGAAAAAGTTGATACTTTTTTTCTCGAAGTATTTCTATGGAGACACTATAAGGCCATAACTGAATTATGTTGTATTTGAATTGCTTACCATTTCACTTACCTATTTCAACAATGAAGTAGCACGTTTATGATTCACTATTCATATTTTTTGTACCATATTTTATTTTGGCCAATAAAGTTATTTAAATAAAATGAAATAATAACATTGTAGATGTATTATTTTTGAAAGGGTTTAGTGCAGCAAGGGTTGTGCTGTTGTACTTTTTACTACTATACTGTATGTATTTTACCGAAACGTAGAACGATCAAATTTTTATGTCATCTATCTCTATATATATGTCTGTGTATGTACTTAACATTATAATCGTTTCAGGCTTCACAGAAGGTCTCATGAGAAGTCATTGCAATCGTCTAATGTTTGCAAGTGAAGTTACTTTATCTAATTGGTTGTTACCAATGGATTTGTATGTAACATTATATATTTATTCGATTTAAATATATTCTGTATCTATTTGACCACACTAAATGATTGCAGTGATTTCTTTAAAACTCTATGAATATACATAAGTCATACATCTTCTTCTTTTCATTTAAGAGTTTTCTCTTGTCGGTGCAACTAATTCATAAGTCATATATAAAGTGATTAAATAAATTACACTATAAATTATTGTATAATGCTAAATAATTAAATAAATATTATAAAAAGCACATTATTAGAAATAAATAAGTATAAATAAATAGATTACATTGAGATTCATATCCATGGTACTATGGAAAAATTTTATTTCTTTTTCAATTAAGCCATAAGATTGAGAAAATTTTATTCTATTAACAATAATTAAATAACTAGTCAGTTTTGGTTTTCTTTGGAGACAATTTGTTATTATCTAACAGAATTAGGCATTTATTTATTAAATACTAACATAAATAAAATAGCCCTTATTAGGGTAGTGTAATACATAAAAAAATTAAAAAAAAAATGTTAATTTGAGTATTCGTTACATTTTTAACAATTTATTATAAGCGATATCAATGTTATGAAATATTTGGGTAAGCATGTTTTCTATGTGTGCGATACAGCATAAAATATTGACGATTTTGCAAGCTTTAACGTTTAAAATATTAATGAGTTTAAGACATTAATCGTACTTTAACATTATCAGTGTTTAAATCTAGTTCAGATAGCCTATAGAATGATAACACATAAAAATACTAGCATGTCTATCTAATAGCAACAATACACAGGAATTTGTTGTATATCTACTTATATAAAATTACATTTAATGCAAAATTAATACATCCAAATCCAATTTAATATTACACAGAAACATGTCTAATAAATTGATGTTAAGAACACTTTAACAATGATCCAATCACAGCAAGAACTTTGTGGCAGTGCGAACAGAACTCAATGTGAGTTAGACGTTATGATAATTCTCAATTGATCAGAAATAAAAGATTCTATATATATATATGACTAGAAACAAATAAAAGACATGTTCTTGACTAATAATATATCCTGTTATACAACACTCATTTTGTAGAATACTCGTCTGCCCACGTCACTAAGTATTTTCGAATTCAATGTGGCACTCCACTTATTTGTTACTAGAAGCCGGGACCGGCTTCGCATGGTTTTTTTTTAAACAAAATACAGCTAATGTCACTCGCTGATAATGTAGCTTTCTATAGGTGAAAAATTTATTAAAATCGATTCAGTAGTTTTTGAGTTTATTCATTACAAAAAAAAAAAAAAAAACAAAATAAACTTTATAATGTTAATATAGTTGATGATATATTCGTGTTTACCATCGACAGATATCGGATTTAGTCATCAATCCAATTACTAAGTCAAGAGTTTTTTAAAGTAAAAATTTATAAACGAATTCGACTATTAAATTACAAATCGAAATGAAGTTAAAATAGTTATAAACTTCCATAATAATATCCCGTAAAAATAAATTACCTAAGATTGCATTCGAAGTTTGTTGAAACAAAAATGTAATTTTACAACAGCCTACCTTTACCTACATAAGTACAGATAGAAATAAAATTATAATGCGATATTAATACAATAAGAATCAATAAGAGCCCAGATATTATTATATGGCATTACTTATAACAAGATAAATATGTACTTTCAAATTTCCTTTATAGGCATATATGACATGTTCTTCATTAATTCAGTAAATACCTAACTATCTATTTATTATTAAATAATTTGTAGACGTCACACGAGGTCGTATTGGAGAGAGAAAAATTTGCATTTCTACCTAATTTTCTAAATGTAAGTACTATAATATTTAAAGGGAAAACACTCATAAAGGCAAGAGAGATTGTTAAGCCTACCTATTTACATATCTACTTGTAAAGACAGAGAAAGGTTTAATTTATATAAGTACGGAATAAGAGTGAAGCTGATACGTGTTAATGCTTATTATAGTTCTGTTTATGTTTTAGGTTTAAAATTATATAGTTACCATACAATTAGGTAATTATAAAGTGCAATTAATAATTAAGGATTTAAGAAATCAAGTCTGCATAAATTTTTCGGAGGATTTAAATAAAATAAATGTACTTTTCCTATAACAATAAATGTTTATAAAGTTTAAGAAGTCAATTATTAACTTACAGAACGGTACAAACGTAAGTCTCGCATGTTTGTTTTTTATTTTTTTATTTATAAGAAGATGAGATTGATAGTATAGTTGTCGAATTGTATTCACAATGTTGTTCACATCATGCCGACGTTTACCGCTTTCTATTAGTAGTGATAGCTTAAATTAATAAATTAATTTTATTATTTATAAACCCGATGAAGCAATAAGGAGATTTTTTTTTTAATTAATTCATTATATTATTAATTTATATAATCTATTTACTGCACGCAGGCGTATGCATACTAAGTATTATAATCGTTAGCGAATAAGTAGGTACTTAGAAGTATATTTTAGAGGAAACATGAAAGAAAGGTTATAGCCGGCAAATCTTAAAATGTACACTTCCGAACACAATACGCTATATTACGTAATTTATATATTAAATATAAATACGTAAAAATAAGGAAGGTATAAAATACTAAAAGTTTTGTAACTTAAAAAAATATTTTTGTTATTTCGCAACATTGTAACATAGTTTTTAGTAACTGGATACAATTTAGAATCAACTCAACAAAATATTTTCGCACTTGTTTTAATGGAAAAAAAGGAAGTACATATTTTAATATTATTACACGGAAATGCGTAAGACAGCAAAGAGGACTTGAAAGCAGCATTGGACGGAAGGACCTTAATGACCGACTAATCAAATGCGTTCCTATTGTTAAGCAACAAGTATATCTAATATTTTATTGTTGGCTATAAACGTTTTCTTTTTAATATAATCCTATTGCACTACCGCGCTTCAATCGGTCTACCACAGATTTATATTATTGCTATTTTTGTTTGCCGATCACTGGGGCCAATTCTGAAGCGCTATCTCCTCTAAACCTATGTATCCTTTAACCTTATATTTTAATTTTATAATTTCGCGAAATCTATTGAAAATTTTGTCACATTGTTTATTAGAATAAAGCTTATGCTGTGGTATCAAATTGAAATTTTATTTTAGAGTAAAAGCGTTTGAGACTTGACCCCATTTTATACCTATTTATTATATTTTGATGTGACTTAGTAAAAATGTAATGAATTATACCGCTTTAATATTAAGTTCTCTAACACCTATCTTACAGATAGGGTAGAAATCTTAATGCCACATTGCCTGACTACTCCGTAAACCACGATTTAAACTAGCATCCAGACTAATTTTTAGTTTATTATGTGGTTTAATAGAGTCACTATGTCTGCGATGTTGTATTCGGCCTTGTAGGTGACAGACAAAATTCTGACTAGATTTTTCTTTAACTACATTTAGTAGATGAAGACGTTCAGTTAAACGTAGGTAACTGATTACCTGTAATTATTATATATTCAGAATCAAAATCGATCTACAATAACGATATCGATGCACTCTCGTTTTAAACGAGATAATACGAGAGATAAATATTATTTTTATAAATAAGGAACAATATTAGCCCGAACTATATTTTTATTTTATTTTATTTAAAAATAATATATATATATATATATATATATATATATATATATATATATATATATATATATATATATATATATATATATATATATAAGTTTGTCTGTTAGACAAATTGAATTCGATTAAATAATTTTATTTAGACATTTGGTTTGTTTTTAAAAGTCGTGTTATTATTATTGCATACATAGGAATTTCGCAAGTTTCTCAATTTAATTCTCATACATATTGTATAATTGAGATGCATTTATATAATGTCTGGATGTATAAAAACGATAGTATCGTTGAACGACTAGCAAGGTCACTAAACTAGAATGATATCATCATAAGACAAAAAAACGCACCAAGAACATTGTCGCACTAATAAAAACTTAATACATACATATATATATATATATATATATATATATATATATATATAGGTGCTATCTCAAGTTAACTCATTACTGTTTAAAGAAATTTTATAAGATATATAAGAGCTTAATATAAAAAGTGGCTCAAAGACTATTACTGTAATTTAATAATACCCAGCCATTGTTGCATTGTGGATACGAGCAATAAATATACATCAATAAAACAAAGAAAACGCGAATTAATTAATATAATTTAATTTTAGTATTACTATAACTAGTGATAAAATTTCCCAATAAAGGGAGACCTATGTTCAGAGTAGACAGTGAACGACTGATATGGTGATGACGATGACGACGATGAAGTAATATTAAAAATTAGAGAAAAAAAACCTGTCAAACATTTTCCACGTTGACATGGTTAATGGAAGAGAATTCTTTTAGAGTTCGTTCACCTTTGTACATTTGCTTATCTCTATCATATTTTTTGTATTATTAGTGTTTACAATAAAGTATAAATAAATAAATAGTCGATGGTTATACTGCTATTTAGGAAACAGTCTTGAAAGTAGGTTAAAATACACCCCTCCTTTGTATAGTAATTTCGGTTCGATCAAATTCTCAGTGGGGTCGAAATGGAACCGGTTGGAACGCCACAGAGCCATCTGTTTTTCTAGGACCGAATCGACTGTTCTGACGTCATCAAAGCCTTTTTTTTAACTTGCTGACTAAATAGGATCGAGCGTATCAGCCGGTAAATAGGTCTAGTCTTTATATATTACGCATGTTCAGTAAACAATATTAGATGTTCTTTTATCGAATTTTGTTTTCCAAAAATAGAGCATAACAATATCCACAGTCTGTCATCATTCACCGATCATTATCATTAGTAGAATGTCGTTAAAAATACCCAAGGAAACAAATCATCAGTGCAAGATTGGGAATACTTGATATAAAATCAAAGCTGACTGGTCCAAAGGTTAAATTAAATAGGTTAGTGGGGCATATTATATCTTAATTATATTATAAGTATATAGTATTGATAAAAAGGTACGTCGATCCCAAATAATAACTGGGATCAAAGTAGGAAAACTGATAAAAAGATAAGCTTAGACCACTTACTACGTATACCATGTACACACAAGTTTTACCTACATGAAAGTGAGTATAGTACCTTTATTATTAAATGATAAATTGGAAGTTAGGTACCTACATAAGCCACAAAACGCGTAATTTGTTAAACGTTTATAGGACTTTAACGATAATAGGTATTGTTCGTTATCTGTGTCCGTATTATATATTGATTATTTGCCACGTAAGGGAAAGAACGGAAAAATAAACAAGTTCGAACATGGAACTTATGTGATTTTTTTAAAATTATTCCCTGACTATATTAGTCATGTATAAATTGTATTGTATGTATAAAGAATTACAGGCCTTTTCGAATAAAATTCTAAACTTCTTATATATGTGCATGGGAAATTAGGATCCATAATAATACAATATAATATACTTTACTATATTATATAACATATGATTGCAATTTTTATTCCATTATATCCTCATTAGTAAGCAACCATAAAAAATTATTTCGCTTAAATCATATCACAGTTCTTCCTTTAGTTGCCGTCTGATTTTGGCCTATTCTGGGTTAGATACACAAGTCACAGTTTTGAGCCACAAATAAATCATAAGATTCTCACCATTATTCTATTTACTGTATACGTTCTATAGAATAGTTCATACAAGCGCAAAGAATGTAAAAGGAAATAAAAAATAAAGAGAAAATTAAAAAAAAATACATAATTTATTGCAATCACAGACAAATTAAAATGAATTTACAACTGGCGAAAACGCCAGCGTAGTCAACACTATACAAATCAATCATATTCAGAATTATTAACAAATGCAAACAACTCGCAATCATATAGAATAAATAGCTTAAAATTAGTCTGTCAATGTGTGATTTGTCAATTATTAAAATATTGTAAAATGGAATAAATTCATGAAATAATACAATCAAATTCCACAAGAGCTAGTAACGACCAAATGCAAAATTAGCTAACATACTTAAAACAGAATGTGATGTGAGTTTGAGCTGAGCGCTGTGCGCCGGTCCGGTGGCGGCCGGGCGCGGTCACAGCGCAGCCGTGCACGGACTTGGCGAGCGCGTCGCGACCATGCGATCACGTCATGTTCACGCCGAGGGATCGGCTCGCGTACTCGTATACCACGTACGATATTGACACGGCCGGTATCACCTTGATGAAGTTGGGCGTGATGCCCCGGTAGAGCCCACGGACGCCCTCCCGTTGCACTATCTCGCTGAACACCCCTCGCATCGTACCCTCTGCTCCCTTGGCGGCTTTCTCTGTAAGCAAAACATAATAATTTACATATCCGTACATAATAACCTACTAATGACGTATTGGGCGTAGGCATATATTATCCAGGCCGGGTCCCTTAAAAAGGCACATTCTATACTCTACATGTCTTTGAGCATAGTCAAAAGCTCAGCATCCTCGGAGGAACACCATATAGTTCTATGGAAAGCATGAGACCTTAAATATATCTATATTTAGCCTATAGAGGCCTACTATTGCTCCTTGGATAGTGTTTAGTTACGAACATTCACTCGCGTTGGTGTATTATACTGGATTTTTATAATCAGTTCTTGTGGGAGAAAGGGATTGTTAGTAATAGGATCTAATCTAAAATATAATAAAAATAGGTCTATCAGGTCGACCTCCACGCGGTTCCCCCTAGAAACCATCATGGTTTCTAGTGGAATTCGTCACAATGGGTTAACAGGCCTGCCCTTTCATTCGTACCTATCATCCCTCACTGGTGCCCCGAGAGCGTATACCGATAGCGCAGGCGGGGTTACCATTACATTATCACCTATTAAAAAAATCAGCTCTTACGACATTCTGGATGTAAAAGGGAGTGGTGATATATTCTATTCTCACTCCGTTAACACAAGGACAACTACTGCATACACATTTAAAAATAAAATCTTTTATTCATCACGCAGCTTCAAAAGAATTTCGCAGTAAGCCACTAATACAAAATTATTTACTTGAGCGTCATTTCATTGCCAGTACAGTACAATTAAAATGAGATTTTATGCCAAGAAGCACTATAATATCGTGAAAATTTGGCAAAGAATGAAAGATATTTACTCTTATAGAGGTATGTTTAGAATACAAATGACAATCGGCATACGTTTAAAAATAATATATTTTTTTTTTAATTCCTATTAAGGAATTACGAAATAAAACAGAATCAATACTGTTAATCAGATCAGTCCCTACAAGTATCATTCGTAAATTCTGCTTTCCTTACGAGAAGTTATGATCAGGGACTTTATACTGAGATATGTTTTGACATTCTCACCGACGCGACCGAGTCGTGCACATTCTATACTTATTACAGTGCCACGTGACAATCACGATAGTTATAATGTCGGAATCTGTTTTATTGTTTTTTCAACCTATTTATAAATTGGAATTATTAAAAAAAATATTACAGGGTTAAAAAAATATTACGCATAAAGATTTTTTCAAATATGGAACACTTATTTCAAATATTTATAATCAGGTCGATTCTGAGACGTCGATTCTTCTTAAATCTATCTTTAAAATTTTAATTTCAATTTGATATCACAGTGAAGTTTTTATTATAAGGAGCAATATAAATTTAATTTTCTAATAGAATTAAGTCAAAATTATTAGAATTTTAGTTTATGGTGGTCCGTAAAACAGTAATTCCATGAATTATTAATTTAAAGTTTCAGGTTAAGAGATAAGTTTTAAAAATTGGTAATTAAAAAAATTACAGTATCGGCTACAATGTCTAATTTAAAATACAGAATATATATGTTAGGTAATAGTTATTACTATCAAAGTTTTGAATAATCATCAGCCAGTTTCTTTAGATGTTCTCACAGAACTACAAGAACTGATTAATAATTATAAGAACGCACAAAGGGCAATATTCAAATAGTGAAACGTACTATACTCCTTCAATAATTAAACTGAAAAGGAAACATGAAATTAGACGAAACTAAAGTGTAGTGACTAATTGTTTTCTTAATAAAAACCCACAAGATAAAACAATGAAGGTGTAATGAATTTTTTGAAACATGTACAGATGTGGAGCCGATATTATAATATCATGTTAGCATTCAACTACTTGTATTGACAGTATGCAAGTAAACGTTTTACGTGACAAGTTATTGTAATAGAAAAACCATTTTCTGACATACAAAATCTTAGTTATGTACTCAAGTAAAAGCACCTATTGTCACACTCATTTGAATGCTACGTCACAAGGTCATTCATGATACATTGTAAGGTTCCCAAGAGGTTAAAAGGAAAAGTTACGGATTCATCATATCTGCCCATCATACTATCGATCCGTATATCCACAATATAATAACTAAGATTAATTTATTGACCTTCAAAACAAAGTCAATAGAAAGTTGAATTTTTTATATAACCCCACCAACAGTTAGCATAAAGAAATCCTAGGTATATATGTGACAAACTTGACAAGTTTTTATGTTTTATATAAACAATGCGGAATATACTCTACAACATACAAAATAATAAATGGCAATAGCTCACCTTGGGCCTGCAATCTCGTTCGGACAAGTGCAAGCGGGTACGAACACACCTGTCCCAGTGTGCAGGAAGCGCTGCCGCACGCGAGCAATAACAGCATCCCCGGCTGCCCGTTGTGAGCTTGGTATTTGCTAATGTATTTCTTCTTCAGAGTTTCGTATACAGCTAGATCTATGCCTGCGTAAGGCACGATGCCCAGGATATTTGGAATGTAACCCTTGTAGAAACACATCAATCCTTCTCTAGCATAAATCTTTTTGGCCGCATCCACGATGCCTTTGTATTGGCCGGTTTTTCTTAAAGCTAACCTTGTCTTTAGCACCTCTAGTGGGTAGATCACAGTTTGACTGATAGCTCCGGCGGTCGCGCCCGCTAAGAAACGCTCATGTATTTCTAGAGGTTGGTTCTTGCGTTCACCTTTTATCAGGCGCTTTACTTGTTCGTAAGCGGCGAATTTTAAAGCTGACTCCGGGGCAATTTTGATTACATTAATTCCGTTTCCTCGCCAGAGGCCGCTTATGCCACCTTCGCTTATCATTTTTGCTAAGCATTTACTCATGTTTTCTCTGGTGGGATTTACCTGTAAAATGACATAAATGAAATATTAGCACAGTATAAGTAATAAGAGGTTTGTTTGAATCGAAGCATTTGGCGTTCCATTGTTTCTGCCTACCCTAATGGGAGACAGGCGTGACAGATATGTATGTATGTATGTATAAGTAATAATACTAAAGTACAGTATGGACACTGGTGCCCGCTGCTATCTGACCTCACCATCTCTCAAATACGTGTCAGCACCCAAACTCTATTTTCCCGTGCTAATCGTAACTGCACACGCATACATTGTCACATGTACAGATGTTATATATTTCTGTAGTTATGGTAAGGACGGTACGTGGCGTTTTTGTACGAAGTGTCATATCACACTCCGGATATTAGTGCATGTGTACTAGAACTTGAATTGGATCGGATCGATTTATGATAGTAATATAAACCAAGGATATTTACCTGCAGAAATACCTTGAGACGATCGAGCGGTGCAGTACAGGTGCGGCTGACGGCGCCGGCGATACCTCCTGCTAGCAGATGACGCCACCACTTGCCAGTTTGTAACTCGCTTTGGGTGAAGTCATCAGGGACGTTCATATCCTCCCCGATATCGAGGTACTAGAAACAAAGAAACATTTATAAGTACACAATCTAGAGCATAGATAACAATAGAACATTTGTCTCTAGTGTTATTTCAAAGTGGCTTGTTATACGTATACACTTGTGCCACTTAATAATACTTAGACTTGATTAAACAGTAAAAATTACAATTTACTATAAATATTTTGATATTTACTGTACATATATAAAAGAATTCAAGATAATTTTTCATTGAAGAAAGTATATAAACAACTGAAATCTACCGAACTCCAAACGAAACGATCCCCGCATCAAAAGCTATAATTTTTAAAAACATTAGAAAATTACGATGAACAGAAGCCGAGGATTCTACTTTTTACTATAATTTTATTGATACTGAGCATTTCATTACAAGGATGTTACCAAGTTATATGTTATTATTAGAATACATTATATCAGTGACGGTATTACACTTTTGCACATAGGGCATCGTCCTCTTCGTTGCAGCCAGTAACTTTCTTTCTTTTTGCTATTTTTGAACTCCATATCTTAGTTTTAAATCTTAAGTGCTCTGTCTGTAGAGGAATGATATATATATATATAGACAGAATATATAATTTTATTAATTGTTTATTTTATTTAAATTGTCATATGCCTGATTACGTTATATTCGGATCATATGAGAGAAGTATATACGTGAAGATGAGAAGTGAAATCGAAAATAGTTGATAGCTTCATAATACAAGTAAAATATTTTCATTTCGGATTAAGAAGCGATTGCAAATTCATACCATGTACAATAGCAATTTCTTTTTATATGCTTAACGATTTTAAGTGTTCCTAATTTAGAAGAATACGGAATAGAAGATGTAGAAAAAGTAACGATTCTCGTAAAATTAGGCCAATTATTTATATTTTTTAATACAGTAGATACATACATACAATAGCTTTAAAGCCCTACTCCATATATCCTTATTCCGGTCGCCATTGTTAAAATATAGGAAGCAATTTCTTTATAGCCGGAAACAATCTGGTAATAAACGTATCGCAGAATATACCAATTACCATAGTATCTTTGAAGTGGCATAGAATCTTGTCGTTCCAATCCAAAGTCAATATTATGAACACGATATAAAATTTCCAATGCATCGTGAATTTCTTGAACAAGCTTGCACAAACGAGAATTTTTAACATGAACTGTGCCACTTTATACATCGTAGATACTAATCAAAGGTAGAGCTCAAAAATGACCCATTTCCAATTATTGTTGGTCAAATGACAGCTTGCTTATTTTGACGCGGTTAGTCATTAGATACGTCTTTTCAATGTAATGATAAATAATGAGGACTAATTATGCATCACATCAAGTACTATTTCTCAATCTATGACAGTATATGATATTATGGGTAATCTACAAATATATATGTATGGCCGTTCGTTTGTCTCGCTAAAATTAAAAAACTGCTAATTGTTTAATATACACGCTACTGTTACTGTTGTTAAATAATACACGTGTTTTAATACTTGTGGTTTAAAAGAAAAAAAAAAAAAATGGAAAAGCGCTAAAAACGCTATTTCGAAATACTTTTAATATATAGCGTTTTAGGTGATACAAAATGCACCGGATTAGATAGTCGTAATTCAAAATATACTGTAACGTATATCGTATAACTAATTCGAGGGCTTTGAATGTGACCTGTGTTATTATTTAATTATAGGTTATTATTATTTTTTTTCGTAATATATCTCGTTATTAAACAAATGTTGAGGTTACACATACGAGCCTGAAAAACTAAGTTACTTCTTTTGTAAGCATTAAGTATATGCTATATGTATTGGCATGAAGCCTTGACATAGAAAGAGCCACTCCTTCTTTTCCCGTGAGTGTCGTAAAAGTCAACTAAGGAAATTTAATGGTCGAGGGATAAGGAGCAACGTTCCTCTTAAAAATATTGAAAGGCGAACTACAGTTGCTAACCCGTCGACTAAGCGTGTCAACTATTGGTAAAATCCCCTTATAGAAGAGGCCTATGTAGCAGTGTACAGTTGATATAATGATACATATGCTAAGTAAATTAGTGCTCTAAGAATATATATACTATATAATATCTGATTAAAAAGTACCAGCAACTAGATCAAATAGAACCAGCAACTCAATAGCTTATTAAAGTCTCATTAGTTTTAGTTGCTGTTCGCTATTATCGAAATAATGATATTGTAATGTAAGTTATTATTAATTTCTAAAATCAACAATGTAAATATCAAAGATTCTTTGTTTTCTACCGTGGCCATTACAGATAATCGTGAAGCGTGGGTGGGCATAAATAATATGATCACGTGACTCTTACTACCATCTGGCTACGATGGCCAGTGGAAACCAGTATTTACTGTCAGTTGGAAAGTTGCCTACGAGTTGCGAATTATTTCATAGTCATAAGTGACGCTACCTCTCGTAAAACTAATTAGAAAGTATGTTAGTTGTGCGTTGAATCTAATGTAATTGTTACTCACGAGAGCAACAAAAAGAGCGGACAGTCTTCATTAAATCTATATGATGATTGGTTCTTTATAAAGAGAATACAGTTTGTATTTCTATTATCTATATTATTTATATACTTTCCCTTTTCTAATTATGTAATAGAATGTAGATTGTACTTAAAAAAATACATGGAGAACTGTTCACATAGCTTTTAGTCTTGCAGCAGTGGGCCGTCTATATTTCTCGAGTGCGTCGAATCAGTAACAGTATATAAGGAAGGAAGATAAGATAAAGACAGTGTAAGGGACACTGGACTGTTGACTGATGACGCCAAGAAGACAGTCGGAAGCGTATGGATGCAATCTAATAGATACGAATGTAAAAAAGATGAACTTGAAAATCTATCTTCTACAAGTCTACGTAAAGCTACAGTCTATTCAGAAATTAGAGAACGCAAATTCCGTGTCGTGTCCTCGACACCAAAATGGGTGCAATTTGGTGTCAAGGGCAGTACGTTACAGATGGTGAGCGCAAATATTCGACGTTGCTTAATAGACGTCTAGACAAGGTCAGGTGTAGTGAACTTCGCAAATTTTAAGTTTCCGATACTAACCGGACGTTGTTAAAAAACTTTTGGAATTTGAACATCCGTTACTTTTGTAGAATAAGCAGTGTCGATTCTTCATTCTTGTATAGGCGAAACGCTTTCTCTGCTTTCACTTTTCTGTTCAAGCACACGAAATTATGAGATCATAAAAAGGGCCGTTTCAAAAATGTTACACTAACGTATCTACATATAGACTGTTATCTGCCAATATCTTCTATACAAACAAAATTTTACAGGATAAATACAAATTATTCTAATTCTAAATATTCCAAATACAATGAATATACACGGTTTCTTTTATATATGCACTTATATTACTTGCATACACCCACCCTAACTTGCCTACCCTGCTTTGGAATTATAATTTTCGTTTGTATAAATAAAATCCGTTATGGGCTGTATTCATAAGAGACTTAGCATTTTTGTATTTATTTATTTATAGGATTACCTACATAAGATACAGCTAAACATTTCAATACAATACACTGGTAGATTAGATCTAACTGTTCTTACATTTATAGGCAACCACAGCATGCCTTCTGTTTGATAAACATTAAAATATAATTAAATTATTAAATGTCATTATATGAGTAAAGATATTAACAATATGAATAATAATACAATATAAAGGAAATATAAAATAAATAAAAAAAAATACAAAAATTTGATTTAAGATAAATTCTTAATATATCGAAGTAAAAATTATTTCTATATGCAAGATAGAAAAGAAAATATAAGTTAGAAACAAATTATATTATACAATTATATTATAAATATCAGGAGGTATTGATGGTCTAATTCGATATGTGAAGGAACACTGACTCTGAGTAAATGACTGACGAATCTGCTAGGCTCACATATTTGTGATGGTTGTGAAATTCTTTACAGGGGATCCTTAGATATTAGGTAAAGATTTTCTATAAATAGATATAGAAGTACTGCGACAAAGTCGTAGGTCAGCTAGGACACAGATAGGATGCTGTGGTAGAGGGATTAGTTAATAGAAAAACTTTATTGACCTTTCGCTGAGGCGAGCAAGGTCTCATGAAACGCGGTCAATAACAAATCGCGTTTTGTTCATTCAACTCTTTTGTTCGTCAAATTATTAATTCATATTAATAGTATAAGGTGACGTTAGCACGTGGACAATAAATAAGCGATTGCAGGTGTATATTTGCGGTTGCTATGCCCTGGTTTATTTTGCTATCAGCACTATTACTACATTTAGATTATGTCGTTGTTACATAACAATAAAGACCATTACGATTTTTTTAAACTGACGTGTATATTTGTGCTGTTCATTTATTTCGCGTTTGAGTTCTATATTTTTTAATTGAACTTTTTTTTTAAATATTTATTATTTTAAAATGTATTTACGAGTAGGATAATTCTATTTATTTTCCATTATACATAGTAACTATTTTACATGTTGTATCCGCTTCCTGTTAATATTATCTTAATATATGAATCATATCTACCCATTTATTAATATGAGCTCATTATGGCTAAAACAGGTTAAAAACGAACTAAAAATTTTATAATAAATGCAAACGATAGATGAAGAACAAGAATTATTAAGTTCCTGTTACTAAGAGACATTTAAATAAGCATGTTTTTTAATTTTAAATGCTCAGCAGCAGTTGCCGGAGGTAATATATTATTAAATTTGTTAATAATATCTCGATGCCAATATTGTTGCTAGACAGCAACAGTTCCTACATAATGGCATCGCAATAAATTATTTGATGTTGCCATGATTAGAATCATCTGTTATATACAGATTATAGCTAATATGCATATAACAGATATTGGCCAGTATTGTGCAATAGTGTTTATACCTAAGGATATTATTAAATTAGAAAATATACTGTCCAAAGGAGGTGTCAAAAGCACGTTAGATGTGTTATAAAAATGGATAAAGCAAAAGATGCTATAATAGAAGCGTTTTACTTT